AGTTCCTCTTATCCAGTTTTCAGTTCTGTCTCAGGGGTAATTTTTCCACGAGTAGTTGTAAATTGGCTGTGTCCACGGGAGGAGGTGAGTTCAGAATCTGCCTACGCCGCCATCTTGACTCCTAACCTCGAATTTTAATTAAACCAAAAACCTTTTGGTGGTTGCAGAAAAATAAATCATACCACATGTTTTTAAGGTGGGTAAAGGTGGTTAAGGAAGGAGGGTGCAGAGTGTGAGAGTATGAGGAACAGGACAGAATATGGTATTTACAAAATAATTTTACAAGTGTGTAAGCAAATAATAAATTCAGCTATTTAAATATCTTAAATTGTCTCTTTATGAGGCAAAATAAAATGTGATTTCTATAATTTTGTTTACTGTTTTTAAATTCTGTACATATACTTGAGTTAATTATACTCCTTGGTTCACAGCTTATTGTCATTAGTAGTCTACACGAAGGCCCCATCTTGTTCTTGTTTTATTGTTTTCATCTTTTCAGTTTCTGTCTTATTCTCTCTTTCTCTACTACACAGCCACTGTAATGTGTTTACTATAAGCTCTTGCAGACTATTAGTTTAGTCTACATATGTATAAGTAGTATAATAGTATGGATGTCATTTTGTTTACTTTTTTCACTCAACATTGTTTTATATCTATTCCTGATATATGTAAATTAGCTCATTGCTGCTTAGTATTCCATAGTAGCTGTCTACTAATTTTACTTATTATTCCCCCTTGTGTTGGATTCCTAGGTCACATCCAGCTCTCTGCTACCTATGTTGAACATCTTCATACATGTGCCATGTCTATTCTGACTAGGGTTTCCTCTAAATATAAATCTAGAAAAGAGACTACTGTATCAGAGGATATGTAAATAAAGTATTACCTCATCTCCAGAATGGCTGTAGATGTTATAGCCTCTTGCTGATGGTGCATGAGAGATCTTGGCTCCCTGTATCCTCACTCACCCTTCCTGTTATTCACTCTCTAAATCTTACCAATTCCACTGGTGTAAAGTAATATTTTTTGTTTTATTTTGGTTTGTTTTTTGATGAGGAAGATTGGCCCTGAGTTAACATTCCATTGGCAGTCTTCCTCCTTTTTTTTGCTTGAGGAAGATTAGCCCTGAGCTAACATCTGTGCCAATCTTCCTCTACTTTTTGTATGTGGGTCGCCTCCACAGCATGGCTGATGAGTGGAGTAGGTCCACAAACCTGGGCTGCTGAAGTGGAGCACACAAAATTTTAACTTTTAAAAATTTTGATATGTTGGTTGCTAATGTTAGTAGTAGTATTGCAAGTTTCGGCTTCATCACTTTGCCTCTGTTTGATTGTTGTTAGTCTCAAAGCCATTAGAAATGTTCATAGTTTCATTCTCATTCATCTATACATCTGTAGAAGGGATCACAAACTAGAGCACAGGGTCAAATCTGGCCTGTGGCTTGGTTTTTTACAGCTCCTGTGCTAAAAATTGTTTTTCCATTTTTAAAAGATTGTTTGAAAAAAAGAAAATACGCGTTAGACACCCTGTGTGGCCCACACAGCCTAAAATGTTTACCCTCTGGCCCTTTACAGAAAAAATTTGCCAACTCTTTATCTATAATATAGACAGAGATGCCTGAAATGATCTTTGTAGCTCTTCTGGCTTCGTATAAAACATTATGTCATGGATAAAAGCAAAAATAAAACGCAGCTATAAAATTATAACCAACAAGGACTAAAATAATTTGTTACTATCACAGTTAAGAGTAATGTTATATCATTGGGTTCTATCATTGATAAATTGTGGATTACATAATTTTTTGGATGCTATTACTCTTTTTCTCTCTGAAAAAAATATTATTGAGTGAAGGTTACAGTGTAGTGTATTTACATCTAGATGTATCTAAATGACAGCCAAGAAGTACTCCTATTTAAAATTACTTGAATTATGGGGCCGGCTTCGTGGCTTAACGGTTAAGCGTGCGCGCTCCAATGCTGGCAGCCTGGGTTCGGATCCCGGGCGCGCACTGACGCGCCGGTTCTCTGGCCATGCTGAGGCCGTGTCCCACATACAGCAACTAGAAGGATGTGCAGCCATGACATACAACTATCTACTGGGGCTTTGGGGGGAAAAATAAATAAATAAAATCTTTAAAAAAAATAAATAAATAAAATCTTTAAAATTACTTGAATTAATTTAATAAGTTGAGTTCCCTCTTTGCCTGTCATTATGCATTTCATAGCAACCGTTACCACCTTTTAAGGCACATTTTATGTTAGTATTTTAAATTACCTGAAAATAGTATAAGATTTTATCTATTAATATTCTAGTGTATACCATTTGATTAAATTGAGGCTATAATTTTTAAAAACCTAATTGGTAAATTCTTAATGTTTTTAACTTTTCTACAAGTGACATCAATTTTTAAAATATAGGCATTTCTATTTATGTTTCTGAAAAATCTTATTTTCTGCAAAATTATACATTTAAGAACAGTTTTATGGGAGCAATAAAAACAGACCATTGAAAAGCTATGCAGCTTTGTAACCAGAGCCCTAATAAAATAGTAATTGGTCCCAGGGAGATAACGGGAATAACAGGCAGCTTTATGTGCCTCTGGGCACTACACAGTGCAAGGGGAAATGGGGTTCTAAACTAGATGTTTTTTAGATAGAACACAAGAAGCAGCAGGACCTTCCACTAGCCAACAGTCTTACAAGGCAAAGGATATCCCTCTTTGAGAAAGGAGCCCCTGGTGCAAGTGCTCATTTTTAATTATTGAAATGGACTGAAAAGACGCCTTCCTATGTAGCAGTCAAGCTGAGGCTTTTAATGTTTCTGATAATTAAGAATTCCATTTATAATTTTTCTTTTCCATTTTCACAGGAAGCATTTTTTTTTTTTTTTGGTGAGGAGGATCAGCCCTGAGCTAACGTCCGATGCCAATCCTCGTTTTTTTTTTTTTTTCCGCTGAGGATGATTGGCCCTGGGCTAACATCCATGTCCATCTTCCTCTACTTTATATGGGATGCCGCCACAGCATGGCTTGACAAGCGGTGCATCGGTACATCGGTGCATGCCCGGGATCTGAGCCTGCGAACCCCGGGCCGCCAAAGCAGAGCATGCACACTTAACCGCTGCGCCATTGGGCCGGCCCCTCACAGGAAGCATTTTGAATAGTTCTTAGACCAACTCCAAGATTCGTGATTGACCAATTTTGTGTTTTCAGTAAATCTCTTGATTTATGATATTTTGTCAGTTATCTTTAGCAAATACACGTGTAATCTGACCTATTTAAAATACTTTTTTTTTGTGAGGAAGACTGGCTCTGAGCTAATATCCATTGCCAATCCTCCTCTTTTTGCTGAGGAAGGTTAGCCCTGAGCTAACATCTGTTCCCGTCTTCCTCTATTTTGTATGTGGGATGCCACCACACCATGGCTTGATGAGCGGTGTCTAGGTCCGTGCCTGGGATCTGAACCTGTGAACCCTGGGCCGCCAAAGTGGAGCATTGAACGTAACCACTAGGCCACTGGGCCGGCCCCTAAAATAAACTACTTTTGAGGAAGCTTTTGAAAATGCATACCTGTTTATGTTGCTCTCCAGCTTAAAACCCTTCAGTAGATTTCTGTCACCTACTGAATAAAGTTCAAACTATTTAGCTTGTCATTTGCACAGGCCCCCTAATGATCACCCTCACAGTGGTACCTCCACCTCCGCAGTGACAGTGAAGACCTACCAGGTCCTGTCCTTTTGACCCCCACCCCACCCCTGGCCAGGGCTTTGAAGGCCAGTCCCAAATGGTTCTACCCTCCCTTGCTGCATCCTCACTTGCTCAGGCTTCTAGCCTCGCTCTTCTCCCCCTCCTCCACATTCTTCTCTGTGATTAGTCGCAGTGAGGCCAGGGCCCAGGGGAGGCAGGTGGAGACGGGGTGAAGAGAGGAGAAGAGCTTTCCAAGGACCACTCTCTTCATGGGATCCCAAACTGTACAACCAGCTCCTCTTTTGCGTCCACACGGATCTGAGAAAGTGCACTGTAGGCATAAGCAGCTATCCTGGAGACCTGTGACAGAGGGACTGGAAGGAGAGGAACAGAGAAGAGACAGTGAGAAGGGAGATATGCAAAGCGGAGGGAGGGGGATTGGATAGCAACAAGAGAGAGGAGGGGATGATGGGGGACAGGAAGCCAAAGAGAAAGGCAGGGATGGGAAAGACAGAAGGAAAAGAACAAAGAGAAAGAGAATAAAGGTTGAGGGGAGGAGATTAGGGAGGGGAGAAAAAGTAAGAGACTGCTGCAAGTCGGAGAAGGGAACGGGCTCGCTGGCCAGCACTTGGTGGGGCTGGCTGGTGAGAGACGGCAGTGGCGGCAGCTTCTTCCAATGGGTCAGGCTGCTGCTCAGCACAGCCAGGCAGGTGCTGTACTGCGTTGCCCGGTCCATGTACCATGCTGCTCCATGCCCTGGGAGTCTGCAGCAGACACGTCGATGATGTTGCTGGCTGTCTTAGCAAGGATGGAGGAGAGCAGGGCCTGCTCATCTGTGCGAGCAGAAGGTAGGCTGTGGTAGTTGGGCTCAGCTCCATTGAGGGCTTTGGTTGGGGGGCTGCTAGGGTCCAGCAGCAGCTTCCTCTCCTCTCGGTCCTGGTCCGAGTCCTCGTTCTCGCTGCTGCAGCAGCACCCCATGGCTGGGGTCAGGCCAGGCGCTCAGGCCGCGCCGAGGAGGGACGGCGTCCATCAAGAGCCCTTCCGGTCACATGACCCGTGGCTGCATCCCTCTTCTTCATCTTTTCTCCTAAGTAGTAATCCATACAAAGTATTACCCTCATAATTTAATCAGTTATTCCCCAAAATTTTATTTTATTAGTTTATATTCAAACTAAAATGACTTCTGGGGCCGGCCCCGTGGCTTAGCGGTTGAGTGCTCGCACTCCGATGCTGGCGGCCCGGGTTCAGATCCCGGGTGCGCACTGACGCACCGCTTCTCCGGTCATGCTGAGGCCGTGTCCCACATACAGCAACTAGAAGGATGTGCAACTATGACATACAACTATCTACTGGGGCTTTGGGGGAAAATAAATAAATAAATAAATAAAATTAAAAAAAGAAAAAGTCTACAAAAAAAAATAAAATGACTTCTGTTCTCTATTTACTATATACCTGGGAAAATAAAATTGAATTATTTCTGCTAATTTGAAGAATGAAAAGATTGCTTTGGAAATTAATTTCCCATGTTTAACATATATTTTATTGCCCTTAAATAAAAACATTTACATAAATCATGTTTACAAAATACATTAAACTTTATTTTCCCAAAGTGGTCGTAATACTTAGTATTTTGGTAGTTTGTATAGCTTCCTTATGAGGAATGTGGATGATATACTCTTTACTGGGCAGGTAAAGGAAATGAAAGGCATTTAAATTAGTCTATAAAATCTTTGCAAGTTAGGGCAGAGCTGGAGGTGAAAAAGTATTATTTACCACCCTACTACTATATTGATTTAATTTTGTAGCATACACAAACATACATACACACATATATATACTACAAAATACGTGTGTACATATATCTACAATGGTTCTTGTCCTTGTCGCAAAGACATCAGATAGGGATTCTCTTATTATCCACCGAAACTCAACACAGATGAGGGTGTTTTTATCATTTTGCCAAATATCCTGGTGCCACAGCTCCATATTTATAAATAAGCATCTTGGAGGTGTAACTTTCAAACTATTAAGATCTTTTAATTTAAACATTTGATCTATTTCCCCCAATTTTTCTTGATATAATGAAAACCATTTCTTTATCCAACTTCTAAACTGGGCCCTTTGCAATCTTAATTACTACACTTTCTTTTTGAAATATCAAAGCTTCCTTTCTCTAATGATTTTTTTCTTTTCTCCATGTCAGCACTCCCCAAGACTACATTTTGTACTTCTCTAGTAACTACTTCATAGTATAAGAAAAAGAAACGAAAGATGTTGATTTGCATGGAGTTCCCATAGAGTTTACCACCTTTTTCTTCTTTCATTGATGAAGCTGCCTGTATTTTAGAGTTGGAAAGTTATCCCTGATGTCTCATAATCCAGACATTTTGTGCATTTCGTAATGCATTTATCCCCTGTCCTCCCAAAGCCATGTCAGCAATGAAGTTCTGTTGGTAGCAATTTATAGCCACTGTATACATAATAAATGAATTAGTTGTGTTTGTGTGTTTTTATACCCATTTTACACACATCTATTTTTCTTTATCTCTGCTATTTACCCAGACAGGCATGGTACATTGTGATACAGCAGTTGGAACACCTGATTATATATCACCTGAGGTTCTGAAATCACAAGGGGGTGATGGTTACTATGGGCGAGAATGTGATTGGTGGTCTGTGGGTGTTTTCCTTTTTGAGATGCTAGTGGGTAAGTAAATATTTTAATTTGTTCTTTTTTCAAAACCCGTCTTATAATGCTTTCATTCTAAGTCAGGAATTTGAGAATATAAGGAAATTAATTGCCTATGTCCTAGGGAAGAAGTGGAATTTCTGAAAACTTTGAATTAGTAGTGTCTGATATGACAGATGGTTAATTGGAAAATTAAAACCACGCGTCATACTGGCACAGTGATTGAGTAGAATATAAAAGGAAGTGAAAGTATACTGCTAGGAAATATTTCTCCAATAGACCTTTTTGTATTAAGAAAATATTAGAACATGAAGCAAGTTTACAGCTTGCAGTGGGCCTCCGTTCTAGGGTTTTCTTGATCAATAGTGTTTGTTGTAAATATTTTAAATATAAGACTGTTAATATTCGTTCCAATAATAATGGAGAGCTAGAAGTACTCTTTAGTGTATGTAATTATGTTATGTAATTGATTTTTGTAAACAAGTAAATATTACTTGTATGTATATTTGGTTTGTAATTCCAGTAAAATAAATTATAAATATAGTTATTGACTATTGGACTATCAAGATAAATATATTTTATAATAATATTTCAGTCTCCGAAAACTCAGAGGCAAATTTTATAATTTCTTTTGCTTTGACCAAATCAAAATTTGAAAGGCTCAAGTATTTCAAAACTTTTTGTTACATCATAGGTTTCATTCTTAAGATTTCCCATTCCTAAGTGCTAGGATAACAAAAATATTTTCTGGCTAAGGAAGCCAATGACTGAATCACCTGGCTTGGGGATGAGGGAAGATTAGCTAAATCTACTTTCTGAGGCAAGTGTAATAAGGCGAATAACTTATATGAAATGACCTTAGAGTTGAAAAAGTATTTTTAGCAATTGGAGAATTTCTGTCCTAGAAAATGACCCTAAAAGAAATTGTTAGTGGAAAATCTGTAAAATAATTGATATGGTTATTGCTAAAAAAAAATCAGAAGAATTTGGTAAATCCCAAACTTAAATGATAATTAGTCATGGAAGTATTTTGTGGTATAAATTGCCTTATCTTGATGATCATTCTTTGTATATAGCATTGATCTTGCTATGCTTGGTCTCATGTTCTAGTAAGAGGTACTTTGTTTTGGGTGTATTTGTAGTGGATCTCCTTGTACGCACCATACGTTCCTGGGTAGCTGTCCATTCTTCTCACCTCTGGCCCAATCTGATGATGTATTAGGTGTGTCTTGTGATCTTTTGAAAGTACAATATATTCTGTCATTTGCCTAGACTCTCGTAGGGATTTAGAAAGTGATGTACTTCGGAGGAAGTCACATGGCTCATTTGAAGAGATTACTTAAATTCCTGCTGCTGTTTTCAATTCTGAGAGCTAAATTTAATGACTTTGAATGGCACTTATTTGCAGTATTCTGAGCCTACTCTGGTGCTTGCTCAGGTTGGTTGGCACTGGACTTCATTTAAAGGATTCTATTGCAGTTAAAAATGGCACTAGAAAAATCTTGAATTCAAAGCTCCCCTCCACTCCCCTTTGAAAACAAAGAAAAGCTAACTATCTGAATACCCTTTTTGAAGTTTTGGATTGGCTGATTTGGGAAAGTCTGGTTTGTACTAAGGTGACTTGTAGTTGAGGCATACTGGCAGGGCCCTTAACCCTTGTGGCTTTGGATGAGTACTGGCCAAAATGGTGCCTTCAACTTTTTCTGTCGTTACACTTGCTTCAGTGCCTCTTTATCACAGTCATTAGTCAGCAAGAACACTGCATTGGGAGACCATTTCTGCCATCGTCAACTCTAGCTGTGTGTCATCTTAGGCAAATCGCATGTCATCTTTTTGAGCCTGGCTTCCTCATATATGAAATAATCGGGCTAGTCTAACTCTTAGAGCTGTGCTGTCAGTTAATCCTGAGGAAAATGGTTTATATCTGCGCTGTCCAGTATGGTAGTCACTGGCCACATTGAGCACTTGAAATGTGGCTGGTGTGACTAGGCAACTGAATTTTTCATTTATTTAATTTTAATTAATTTAATTTTAATTGCCACATGTGGCTAGTGGCTACTGTATTGTATAACACACCTCTAGGTAGTAATCTCAAAAGGCTGATCCAGCTCAAGCATTAGAGGACTCTGACTGATCTGACTCCACTTAGTAATCTTTTCCTTTAATTATCCAGTAAATTATTTCCTTTCCTATTATTAAAAACAACAACAACAATAGCAAATTCAAGAGTTAGCATTGATTTTATTTTGCTGTTAAGGGTTGATGGTTCATTGGTATGGTTAAAATTTAAATATATTCTTGGTGTGTGGCTGTTTGTTATGACTGAGACTCCTGGCCAATAGACCATTCGTTCTTCTGTGCATGTGACAAATTTAAACTTAACGTATTTAAATATTAGATGAAAAGTGTTTAATTTGCATTGTCTATTACATTTGGTGTTTTCTTTCCTGGAATTTTAGGGGATACTCCATTTTATGCAGATTCACTTGTAGGAACATACAGCAAAATTATGGATCATAAAAACTCGCTATGTTTCCCTGAAGATGCAGAAATTTCTAAACATGCGAAGAATCTCATCTGTGCCTTCTTAACAGATAGGTAATATACATTGAATTTCTTTGTAGAGAGCCCTTTAACTCTTAGATTTGTAGAAATGAAAGTATACCTAACTCTTATTTACATATGAAATCAATCTCTTTATCCAAATTGCATTTAATTCTGGGTTAGCCTTTTCCTATTGCTAAGCCTGGTGTTGGGTTACCCTTGTCATTTCTTGTGTGCTGCCCAGTTGTAATCTAACTCTAACCTTAACCCTCGTGTCTAAAAAGAAAAAAATAGAAGTTGGTGTAAAATAATGCATTTGAGAGAAATAAAACTTTTGTATTATTCACATTTTATCCTCTAAGGTGATTAATTGTACAACTTTTGAGAAAAGAGCATTTTGTGCAGATGAATACTCAGGTTATAATCTTAAAAACTATTTGTGTTTGACTTGGGAGTGCCTCCTTCCCAACCCTTTTTTATTTGCATTTGAATATGAACAAGTCTGTCCTGGAAATTCTGTATTTCTTAAAACAAAATAGGTGAACAATGTTGTGAAAACCTGCCTCAAAAAGAGATGCTAGAAAACTGTTGGGAGTTTCTTTTTTGCCCTCTCTATTCAGTTCTTTTCTGATTTCCCATTTTATATTTGTGATAGGAGTCCTCCTATGAAAGGACCAACACATACAAGAGGGTGCTTACACTCCAGTCCAAACTTTACTCACTAGCTTTGTGATCTTACGGAAATTCGTTTACTTTTTTGGGAAATTATTTTACTCATCCATAAAATGATAGGATCAGATTAGATGATAGCTAAGGGCATTTCTAGCTCTAAAATACCATGATTCCTCAGCAAACCTTATTGTTTGTTAACCATTTGGTGTTATAAGCAGTACTGCAGTGACTATCCTCATACATTCATCTTTGCATAATTTTTGTAGGATAAAATCTTAAAGGTGGAATTCTGGGATACACATTTTAAAATTGAGTGATGTCGCAAAATTGACCCCCCCCAGATGTCATGTCGGGGTATATTTTCGTACAATAATTGTTTCCTCATTCTCGTCAAACTGAATATTAAGAATTCTTTTTCTTTTTCCATCTGAAGCAAGAAAAGTTATTTTTATTTTTCCTCATTAGAGAACTTAATCATTTTTATATGTTTATCAATCATTTGTTCAATAAAACTTTTAAGATTTGTAAATTATATGATTAGTGAACAATCCATGCTGATAAACTCAAATCCTGCATAATGTTTGATTTAGGACTAGATGGGGTTGATGGGAATGACCATAACTTGTGCTAAAAGGGAAAATATAAAACAGGATATAACATATGTTAATGAAAGGAGTACCATTTGTGAAAGATTTGCCTTAGCAATTTATTAGGGGGGAGGTTGCAGTCTAAGGAATAATTTTAGTTGAAGAAAAGATATTTTGAAAGACTTGAATGCCATCATTGTGGCTAATAGCACTTCCTTCTAGTTTACAGGTTTTCCTGTTTATATTAAACATAGCTCCAGGGGCATATAAAAAAAGATGCTTTTAATTTCCGTGTAATCTTCATTGAAGACTCACAGTGTCAAAGAATGAAATTATTACTAACATTTTTCTTGTATTCAGAATGATAATTTTAATATAAATGTAGAGAGATAATTTATCAGAGTAGATATGGATAGCTTCAAACACAGCGTGTGAATTCTTTTTAAGGGGAGAGACTTTAAAGTAACATTTTTATTAGAGAAGTTTTGAATAACTCTTCTGTGCCAAAAGTTAGACCTCCATCTATTTTACATCTTGAAGGTCGTGCGGTTTTGGTGCATGCAGGTGAACTTTTTTATTTGAAAGTGTCATGTGTACTTTCATTTGACATAGACTATGGATGGAAATATATTTCGTTTTCTGTGGCATTTATTGTACCTTAGTCTTTTAAATCTGTCTGGAGACATCATACACTGTAAAAGGAGATTGCTTATTTTTGAGAAACATTTAAGCTGAAGCTTTAATAAATATATCTTAAACTCATATGTGATCCTTATTTTGATCTTTGTCAAGATAAGAGTTAATATTTTTGTTTTTTCATAATCTTTTTATAATACAATCTTCAACTGCATTGTTTAGGGAGGTACGACTTGGGAGAAATGGGGTGGAAGAAATCAAACAACATCCTTTCTTTAAGAATGATCAATGGAATTGGGATAACATAAGAGAGAGTAAGTTAATAAGTTTAAATATTTCCATTCCATCACATTTTAAATCTCATAAATTGATTCCTTTTTTGAATTAACAGGCATGTTTTATTCACTTAATGCTAATTGATTTTTTTTTTTTTTTTGTGAGGAAGATCAGCCCTAAGCTAACATCCATGCCAATCCTCCTCCTTTTGCTGAGGAAGACTGGCCCTGGGCTAACATCTGTGCCCATCTTCCTCTACTTTATATGGGACGCCGCCACAGCCTGGCCTGACAAGCAGTGCATCGGTGTGCACCCGGGATCTGAACCTGGGCTGCCAGCAGCGGAGCGCGCGCATTTAACCACTACGCCACGGGGCCGGCCCCTGCTAATTGATTTTTAAATTGAGAGGTTTCATTTCAAATTTGTACTATGGTAATATTTATAACTAATATTACCTCAATATCTTAGCAAACTAATATGTGTTTATTAGCAGTATTTCCCAATACTTTTATAATAAACATAACATATTTCTTAACTTGTCAAGTTAAGTTTTATGGATGTCAATAATTTTCAGAAGGGGGGACATATAATCCTTTAATTTGAATGTGTTTGAATTAATAAATCAATAATTAATTATGTAGACCATGCTCTGGTGAATACTAGGGTAAGCATAGTAATTCGTTTTAACTTTATGTATATTTGACGTTAATTCATTTTAAGAGTAAGAAGTATTTCTGCTTAAAAGAATGTAGAAGACTGAAACTAAAGAATGTATGTGCAAATTATTGCTACTTGTAATTTTAATACCTAGAATAATATCATATTGCTTTCTTTGTTTGATTTATCTATATTTAAAACTGATCTAATAAAATATTTTTAAAATTTTAATTCTTTGAAATGAAATATAAAACGTGTTACTTAAATTTTCTATAGTAAATCATGACGATATTGTTATTAATTATATATTACTAATATATAATATGTTAATATTAAAATAATATATTATTAATAATATGTAGTTAATATATAACCAAGGAGGGGTGGTTTATATATATTGATTATGAATGAAATAATTCATTTCTTTCCTTTTGATAGCGGCAGCTCCTGTAGTACCTGAGCTCAGCAGTGACATAGACAGCAGCAATTTTGATGACATTGAAGATGATAAAGGAGATGTAGAAACCTTCCCAATTCCTAAAGCGTTTGTGGGAAATCAGCTGCCTTTTATAGGATTTACGTACTACAGAGAAAATTTGTATGTGATTTGTTTGTTATATTTTTATTGTTTTCAGAGTCTAGCTATAAAGAGTTGTCTTACTTGGAGATTCTGGATTATAGAAGATAAAGTATTAATTTGTTTTAAACTTTGAGTGTTTTCAAAAAGACTATAAAAGAGTTATTTTTAATTGGATAGCATTATTTTATTTCTGAGTATTATATGATATTCATTTACACATAAAGGCAAGGCAATGTTCTGTATTCTTTTGGGGATATAAAGTAAGACCCATACCTGCTTTTGAAGGAGCTTGTCAACTAGTGAGGGATATAAGAGAATTATATAGTCATATTGAAGGGTAGAATATGGTGTTTTCCTTAAGAAAGTTGCCCCCAAAATCTGAGATGGTTCAGAAGAAAAATAAAAGTCACATCTCTTTGGGGTGAAGGTAAGGAGAAGTCAGTTAAGACCTCAGGGAAGAGGTGGCATTTTAGCCAAGTCTAAAGATAAGAAAGGTTTTGAGTGGCCATGATGTGGGGCCTTTAGGTGAGAGTTGAGGGGAGGTGAATAGTGGAAGCAAAAGTTTGGAATGTAAGCATACATTGGAAACAGAGTAGTATAGTCGAGTAGGGCTCAAACATAGGGTATGTATTAACTGTATTATGACCATGTGGAGGACTTGATGAGACTGTGGTTTTCTCACCTGTAATCCCTCCATCTAGCACAGAGCCTGGCACAAGGTAATTCAATAAATATTGGTTGACTGATGAGAGTATTGGTTATAAGATTAGAAAATAGATTGGAGTTGGAGTTTAGAGGAAGAATAATGCACAGAATAACAACAGATGATTGTTGTGTTTTGTGCTAGGGACTTTTGACTTTGATAGGCAGTAAGGAGCCACTGTAAACTGTTAAATAGTTGAGTGAAGTGTTAAAGACATTTGAGAAACATATATTTGAGAAACTTTTGGTACTTCCATATATGTAATGATTGGGGTGACCAACCATGACGGTTTGCCCAGGACTGAGCAGTTTCCTAAGATGTGGCATGGGACTTTTCATGCTAAAACTGGGGAAATCCTAGACAAACCAGGATGGGTTGGTCACCTTGCTAACGATAGTATTCTAAAAACTATTGTGATGTTGACTAAAATGAGGATATCAGTGCCAGGAGAAACCCAAGCATGTTTACAGGCAGTGAGGAAGGACCCAGTTAAGAAAGAAATTGACAGTTAAATAGAAGTGATAATTTATGTATTAAGACTTGGCAATCAAGAGATATTATCTTTGAGGAGGAGAGATGTTTCTTTCTAGAAGATTTCTAGAAAAGATGAATAAAATAATTACAGGCACTCAAAATGAGATGAAGGGGAAAGTATAGTTTCATTTCGTGACTCCAATCTCAACAATGTTAAAGACTAGAGCATTCAATAAGAGTGAGAGGCAAGAAAAGTTTAGCATTTTAAATTATTGAAAATGGTATAAATATCTAGAGGGAAAAATATTGCTTCATTTAAAATATGTTGAAGTAAAAAGAGAAATCTTTGTGGTTGGAATTTAATTCTGAGACTTAGTATTAGAAAATGAATTATAATGACATGCAAAAGAATTTATTTCCTGCCTTTCCTTCTAGGTTATTAAGTGACTCTCCATCTTGTAGAGAAAATGATTCAGTACAATCAAGGAAAAATGAAGTATGTATAAATTTTTACTGCTCTATTTTAGTCACATGTTCAAATATTTTAGTAATATCTTTGTATTTTAAAAAGTTCATTTGATATTACTTTTTGAGTCATTAGATGGCATTCCTTATTGCAATACAGTTTAGTGTAACATTGAAATGATTCATTTATTTGACAAATATCATTGCGTTAAGATACAATGGCTAATGAAAAGATGAATTATATAGGGCTTTAGGCTTAGTTTTAGTAGCAAAAGTGATAAAATAGTTTATAAACAGCTGAAATACCAGTTAGAAAATTTTATAATCTTAGTACTATAAAAGAGTACAGATGATAAGCTATAAGGGTACAGAAGTACTGGAGAGATTCAGATTTTGAATATTTAGGAATGAATTCTTATAAAAGTTAATTTTATCAAACTGTTAACTGTATTTTGTGACCTCTATAATTTGTAACTGCATACAAAGCTAAATCGTACACATACACATATACACATAAATGAGGATACTAAATGTTTTTCTCTTCAAAACGTATAAAAACTAAAAAAGTTGGTTGGATAATTTTAGTATGATTTGTGTTTTAGGAATTTTACAAAGCATAACAAGCATTTTAATGTTTTCTGTTTTTTTTTGTTTTGTTTTAAATAGGAGAGTCAAGAGGTATGTTGATGTCAAATATGTTGAAAAACTGAGAAAAACTCATCACTCTAGCAGTGTTTTGATATAGCCGTGTTTCACCTAGCATTTGGAGTACTCCATCTACCCAAGAGAGAAGTTCCCAACCTTTTTTTCTACCAAGTATCCTGTTTATTATTGCTCTTATGAATCTGCTGTTTAAAATATATGTTATATAATTTTCTTGTTTTTATTTATCAAGGATGTATAACTGACAGCAAGAACTTCTGATCTGATAACTAGCATGTGATAACTATTAGGTTGATAGGTTAATAGGTGATCAAATTATACTAATGCAATACTAGTTAAAAGCATTTAAACTTGACTAGTTCACTGGCCCATATATTCTTATTAGGGGAAATTTGCTTAAGATATAGAAAATATTTAAGAAACCATGGAGAACCTAATGACTAGAAAGAATAGTGGAAAGAACATTGGCCATGGAATATAATAGACTTGGGTTGATTTTTGGCACTGCCACTTATTAGCTCTTCTATCTTGGCCCAGTTATTCTCCTGTTTTGGATTTCATTTTCTTTATTGAGTAGGTATAACACTACCATCTTCTTAGGGTTTTTGTTAGGATTAATGAGACAACATTTGTAAAGTACCTACCAGTGTACCTAAGGCACAAAAGGAACTCAAAAAGTTAAATCCTTTATAAAGGTAATAATGCTCCAAAAATGGATTAGTTAATACTTTCTGTAGTTTTAGTTTGTTTAAAGACTGATGTATCTGGCCTGGAAGAAGATTTAAAGAATGGCAAGGAGATGACTTGTAATTAATTAGCTATCATTTATCCAAAAGAATTATTGATTACAATTCTTCACAATATTGTGCTTGGTGCTGGTGTGGGAAGATATAAGCAAGAGCTTATATTCTTATTTTTAACAACAGTAATATGTTTTTGAGCATGTTCAGTCAAATATTTCAAGTATTTGTTTCAGATACAGACCTTTGTATCTTTTAAGTGCAAAAGGTGATAATGTTTTCAAACAAATAATCTGCTGAAGAACTGTGGAGGATATCAGGATATTTTTTATTCATAATGAATGAGAAACTTGGAGTCATAGAAGAATTCTGCCAAGATTGGAGCTTCTCCTTCATATGTTTACATAGTGTGTTCATACATACATGTGTCCTGTGATAGAGAGAAAGCAAGAGATGGAGGATTTTTTCCTTCTGTCAATAAAAGTCACATTAAGAAGGTACAAATATTGTACCATTATAGAGGAGAGTATATTAAGGTGAAAGAAAAGAGATGCTTATCATTATTTTCTTTAAGCCTCTCATCTTTTACATGTGACCAAACTTTATAATTACCATTTCTTGTTTTCTGACAGATTCAGAAAAAACTATACACATTAGAAGAACACCTTAGCACTGAGATACAAGCCAAAGAGGAACTAGAGCAGAAGTGCAAGTATGTTTTGTAGATAATTAAATATTATATTTTAAAATTTAAGTTTAAACATTTCACTAAAAAACAAGAGCCATAGAGTAATCATATGGTTATTTTTAACTTTATGGTACATGTTTTTATTGTAAATTAGGAGAGAGTTATTTTATTTACTGTTTCTTTTGAAATTCTTTAGATCTGTTAATACTCGCCTAGAGAAAGTAGCAAAGGAGCTAGAAGAAGAGGTAAAGTTGCTCTATGTCTCTATTAACATTCTTGTTCATAAAAAATTTTGGTGCCTGACTTACCTGCAGAGTTCTCTTAGTACTGTATTAATACATATCTTGATATATACTAAAATCTACCTGGTAGCATTGGTGGACAAGACTAAAATTCTAGGATAACCATGACAATAAGGTTCATTTTATGTTTTTGCGAACTTGACTTAATTTAGTATGTGTAGATATTTCAAGTAAAAAAATTACATTTGTATTATATCATGGTTTAAAAACAGAAAGTAAATATGTTTTTTTTTTTTTAATTGCTATTCATAACATTTTAGATGCATAGTTTGTATTAAGTAAAGATGGTTCAGTGACAATGGAAAGTTATAGAAAGTTTGACTTTCTTTCTTTCTTTTTTTTTTTTTTTTGGTGAGGAAGATCAGCCCTGAGCTAACATCCGTGCTAATCCTCCTCCTTTTTCTCCCCAGAGCCGCAGTAGATGCTTGTATGTCACAGTTGCACATCCTTTTAGTTGCTGTATGTGGGACGCGGCCTCAGCATGGCTGGACAAGTGGTGCGTCGGTAGGCGCCCGGGATCTGAACCCGGGCCGCCAGTAGCGGAGCACGCGCACTTAACTGCTAAGCCACGGGGCCAGCCCGAAAGTTTGACTTTCAACAGTAAATAAAAATGCTTATGGTCTTGATTATTTAAGAGTAGTGTGCTAGGGCCGGCCCCGTGGCTTAGCGGTTAAGCGCGCGTGCTCCGCTGCTGGCAGCCCAGGTTCGGATCCCGGGCGCGCACCAGTGCACCCCTTCTCCGCCCATGCTGAGGCCGCGTCCCACATATAGCAACTAGAAGGATGTGCAGCTATGACATACAACTATGTACTGGGGCTTTGGGGGAAAAAATAAATAAATAAATAAAATTATAAAAAAAAAAAAAAGTAGTGTGCTATTTTAAAGATGTGGAAAACATTATTGTAGTTTAAGCAAAACAACAAATACAGCTTTTTTTTTTTGATAGGTCTTTTTTATCTGCTTGAAATAACTAAAATATTTTTTGTTTTCATTTGATTTTTATACATACTTTTCTTTGATAATAACCTTAAGTGTTATTTCAGATTACCTTAAGGAAAAATGTGGAATCAGCATTGAGACAATTAGAAAGAGAAAAAGCACTTCTTCAGCACAAAAATGCAGAATATCAGCGGAAAGCTGATCATGAAGCAGACAAGAAACGAAATTTGGAAAATGATGGTTTGTGGTGTAGAATATATAAATACTTAAGAAAAAATTAAGTTTGTGTGTGTGTTGTGTTGAAACTTGCCACTAAAATGCTTTTTATCATAGTTAACAGTTTAAAAGATCAACTTGAAGATTTGAAAAAAAGAAATCAGAACTCTCAAATATCCACTGAGAAAGTGAATCAACTCCAGAGACAAGTAGGTTGATCCCAATTTGTAATAAGGATATTATTGAATTTTATTTATGACTGCCTATTAGCACTAGTTTTAACTGGCAGTGTTTCAAAAGGCCTTTGCCTCTAATTTTAAAGAGAAATCATTAGGAAGATAATTTTTGGTTTTTGTTTATTTTAAATAGTTTGTAATGGGGTAATAAATTGAAGTATTTTCATTATATTCACCTATGTTTGTTTGCTTGTTTGTTGTTTGTTTGATTTTGAATGAAATAACAGCTGGATGAAACCAATGCTTTGCTGCGAACAGAATCTGATACTGCAGCCCGGTTAAGAAAAACCCAGGCAGAAAATTCAAAACAGATTCAGCAGCTGGAATCCAACAATAGAGAACTACAAGATAAAAATTGCCTGCTGGAGACTGCCAAGTTAAAACTTGAAAAGGAATTTATCAATCTTCAGTCAGTTCTAGAATCTGAAAGGAGGGACCGAACCCATGGATCAGAGATAATTAATGATTTACAAGGTATTAAAGTAGAGATTGCACTTGGATTCATCTTGATGATTTGTCTTTTGGAAATAACTTTAGATGATGGATAATATGCTAAAGTAGCACATTTATGAATATACTACTCTGTTATATAAAGTTAGGGTATTAGAAATATATTGATAAAAAATTTTATGAACAGAAGATTTACTTTCAAATAGTATGAAGTATATTAAGTATTAAACCACCTCCCAAGGTGGTAGATTGGGTTCCAGTTGAATTAACTGTAAAGCACTATCCAACAATTATAAAACTTCTGCTCATAAATAGCTCCAAAGTATGAGGTGACTTCCAGATTTTTAATCTTAATTTAATATGTATATACTTTGTGGGTTCATTATTTTTAAAATGTTGCAATTTTAGGTAGAATATCTGGCCTAGAAGAAGATTTTAAGAGTGGCAAAATCTTATTAGCAAAAGTAGAGATGGAGAAGAGACAACTACAGGAGAGATTTACTGATTTGGAAAAGGTAAAACATGTTAAGCTTTATATTCATGTAAGAAAGTGGCTATAGAGTTTCAGATTGGAAACCTATTCTAAACCAAGGGAAATCAGTAACTGAAATATTTCCGTGTACTCATGGACTCTTTTATATTTATTTAGACTTGGTTGTGTAGACTAGGGATATATATTTTAAGGCTTACCATAACACTACAGAAGCAGCCCTTACTATGTTAGATGCTTATGAAGGGAGGGACTCTCCTAGAGTGTGTATAATGAGGCTCCTTCTTTTAGGGATCCAAGGAAAACTCAAATTTTGACTTGTAACATCTTAAAAATGTCTTAAAAATGACAAAGTTATCATGACTTTTGGCATTTAGAAGTTATTCTTTAAAAATACTATAAGCCAGGGATAATTTCTAGTCTCTGTGCAGTTAATATTTTATTTTCATTCGCTTATTTATTCATTACTTTAATTATTTAGTGTGTCGTCTGTGGTAGAAATACTAGGATGCAGTCCTTGTCTTTGACAGTCTCACAGTCTAGTGGGTAATTTCTAAAGTATAATAATAAAGCACGCAGATAATTCTAATGCAGTGTGGTAAATAGAATGATAGAGGTATGGACAGGGTGTATTGGGTACACAAGATGAATCTCTAATCTGACAGGGCAGGGTTGGTTGACAGGGTAAAGGCACATTCTGAGTTGGGGAGAACAGCATCAGCAAAGGCACAGAGGATGGAAAATAAAAAAGATACATTTGATTTATTTAAGTACAAACTCTTCAATATTTCTGGAGTATAGAGTAGGAGTTAACAAATTGTAATCTTTTAAGGGAAAGATAGTAAATATTTTAGGCTTTGTGGGCCATATGTTCTCTGTTGCGGCTACTCTGCTCTGCTGCGATATAAAGGAATGGGCGTGACTATGTTCCAATGAAATTTTACAATAATAGACATCAGGGGGCTGGCCCCTTGGCATAGCGGTTAAGTGCGCACGCTTCGCTGCTGGCAGCCTGGGTTCAGATCCCGGGTGCGCACCGACGCACCGCTTGTCAGGCCATGCTGTGGCGGCATCCCATATAAAATGGAGGAAGATGGGCACAGATGTTAGCCCAGGGCCAGTCTTCCTCAGCAAAATGGAGGCTTGGCATGGATGTTAGCTCAGGACTGATCTTCCTCACACACACACAAAAATAAATAAATAAATAGACATCAGGCCAAAATTGGCCTGAAGACCACAATATGGTCCTCATGTAAGAGTGTGAGAAATTCAGTGGCCAGAGTGAGGCTACAGAGCTAGGCATGAGCTACATCATGCAACATTTTGAATACTCCATTAAGAAACATAGTTTCTCTAAGTAATGGACTAGCCACTGAAGGGCTTTAAATTGGATGACATTATGAGAGGTACATTTAAGATGGATCACTGTGTGCCACGTGGAGATTAGATTTGAGGAGGAAAAGACAGGAGGTAGGGAGACTAGTCAGAGGCTTTTTTAGTAATTCAGGTAATGGAGACTTAACTAGTGCAGTGGTTAAAAGGATGGAAAGTAGGGATGAATTTGAGAAATATTGGTTATTGATTAGATGTGGCATGTGAATAGTACTCAAGGATGAGTTCTAGGTTCCTAGTTTGTGACAAGATATATAGTGGTGCCATTAATTTAATAAAGAATAAAGGAAAAATGTCTCTTTTAGAGGAGACAGTGATAAATCCATTTTAGTCCTAACTTTGAAGTGCTTGTGAGACAGCCAAATTAGGATGTCTGCAAAGCTGTAAGCTATGGTAGTAGGAGCTAGAAATATTTGAGAGTCATCGGTATACAAGTAGCTGAAACCGTGCGAATGGAAGAGCCCATCTGGGAAGAGATCGTTTAGAGCAGTAGGTTTTCAGGACAGAGTAGATTACTCTGTTGATGGATTGTGTAGTTCGAAAAAAATCATTTTCTGTGTTAAAGATTTTATTTGAAAAACAAAAGAAATATCTATATTTATGATACAAACTATAGAAAACAAAGAATTAGAAAATCTTTTGAAGATATATAGAAAATAGACTGACTTCCATTATTAAAGATTCTCAACTTAAAACAAGTCTCCTATGTGGAAAATAAGAGTGAATGGTAGAGGATCCTGAAATTTTTTTTTTTAGATATAGCAAAGGGAAACATTAGATATGTTTTAAAAATTTGAGAAATACTGATATAGAAGAGAAGAGGCATTGTGGCTAAAGAACACTACCTCCAGAGAACACTAACATTTAAGGGGTAGCTGGAGGAAAACTTCACAAGCAACAGAAAAGATGAAGGCAGGGTGGGGAGAGCCAAGTGAGTTCTGTGTTAGGTGTGTCAAGGAAATAGTTTCAAGGGCAACAGTGAGTTCAAAGGAGATAAAGACGGAAAAGTGTCTGTTGAATTTGATATTGAGAACATCATTGGTCACTTTATTGAGATCAAAAAATCTCAATACAGATGTCAAAACAGTAGAGTGGAGGTGTGGGAGATGGGTACAGAGGGAAATGAACAGGTAGAGTGCATAGATTACTTTGACAAGACGTTTGAATAAAGAGGGGAGGGAAAGTGTTGAACATTCTTAGTAAGCCTGTAAAGAACAACTTTGTAAAGTTTTTGAAATCGTGAGTGAGTCGTCTTTGTTGATAGCTGCCATTTTAAATCTTTACTAGGAAAAGAACAACATGGAAATAGATATGACATACCAACTAAAAGTTATACAGCAGAGCTTAGAACAAGAAGAAGCTGAACATAAGGCTACAAAAGCACGGCTGGCAGATAAAAATAAGATTTATGAATCCATTGAAGAAGCTAAATCAGAAGCCATGAAAGGTATGCGTTTTTATAAGGATTTTCCAGCAGCGTTTTACTAAGAATTGATTCTGTATTCAGCTCTTTAATTTTGAAAAATATTTGTTTATATTTTATTGGCAAATATTGGGAACTGGAGGAAAAATACTATTAGGGAAGCTTTACGTATATATATATATATATTTTTTTTTTTTCCTTTATGGCAACAATCATTTCTAAGATAGTAAGGCCCAAACACAACATTATTCACTCATATTTTTAGATCAGAGAGAAATTAATATTTTAGTGGTATCAGTAGTGACAGGCATACAGACTGTGAAGTTCTAGATATATCTACTCAGATTTGGGGGATATGCTCTTCTTGTAATATGTAGTTTGACATTTCACCAGCTTGTGTTACAAAATTCTTGCCAGTTTATGCAAGATAGAGATTTAAAAATAATGGCTGACCTAACTAGAATATAAGTTCAGTGAATATTTTGAACTCTGGCATGATGAAGATACTAGCTAGAATTGGTCAAAGCCATACAATACTAATGAATGTGTAGGGTAAGATAGCAAAGTTAATTTTTCCACAAACTAGCCTGTATCTTGGAATTGTCTTAGGATAATTTCTTATTTTCAAAACTAGCTGTTTATAATTATGAAGGATTTGAAATTCCAAAGGAAATCAATTAAGTAGTCTTTATGAAAGATTCATAGAACTTTTAAATAGAAATTTTATTTCATATTGAAGCATAACATTTATGAATAACTTAGCAAAACACTAGCCTTTTAATTATTGAATGTAATTAAAATTAGAGATTTTTTTGTTAAAATCAGTTTAGTTTAAGGCACTAATTCAGGATGATAAAAGGTGAAATGAGTGCTTTATTTAGAAAAATCTAATTAGAAGAGAGGAAATTAGTGGGCCATGTTTCCCTGTGGGTGGTCTAGAAGATAGAGTTGAATTTCTTTTGAGGTATAATTTAGGTGTGATAAAATGAAAACATTTTTCACATTTGTAATACACGTGTGTAACTACCACCCAAAACAAGATGTAGAATCTGTATTTTCATCACCTCAGTAAGTTCACTGGTGCCTCTTTCTGTTTTCTGTGCCCACATTAGGGTGATTGTTTTTTAAAGTGAATAGGTTATTCTCTGAACTGATGAAAATGAACCGATTCAGCATAATAATACCACTTTTTCAAACTCCCTTTTACAGCACTGACATAAGATGCATGATGACTTTTGTATTTTACACGAGTCGAGTACACAAAACTTAAATATTATAGATGGTACTCAAATCCGAGTCTAAAGCCTTTGGTCTTTCTGCTGCATGTCATTGCCTCCTTTGATTAAGAACATGGCTTACCGGGCCGGCCCCGTGGCTCAGCGGTTAAGTGCACGCACTCCGCTGCTGGTGGCCAGGGTTCAGATCCCGGGCGCGCACCGAGGCACCACTTCTCCGGCCATGCTGAGGCCGCGTCCCACATACAGCAACTAGAAGGATGCGCAACTATGACATACAACTATCTACTGGGGCTTTGGGGGGAAATATAAATAAATAAATAAAATTATAAAAAAAAAAAAAAAAAAGAATATGGCTTACCGGGGCCAGCCCGGTTGTGTAGTGGTTTAGTTTGCGCACTCCACTTCAGCGGCCTGGGGTTCACAGGTTCAGATCCCGGGCGTGGACCTACACACCGCTCATCAAGCCGTGCTGTGGTAGTGTCTCCCATACAAAATAGAGGAAGATTGGCACAAATGTTAGCTCAGGGACAATCTTTCTCAAGCAAAAAGAGGAAGATTGGCAACAGAGGTTAGCTTGAGGCCAATCTTCCTCACCGAAAAAAAAAGAGAATATGGCTTACCAGTGAATTACTAGTTATGTGACCTGGTCTAGGTGCCTTGCTTTCTTTAAAGGGACAATTATAATATTAAGTTGTTGTGAAAACCAAGTGTGGTGATACATAAAAAGTGCTTAGAAATGCTATTATTAGTACTATGAGAAGAAGAATTTCATTTTTCCACACTTTTGAAGACAGTTCATTAAAAACTGAAAATTCATAGGTTTAATTTTTACCTAATGTAACTTTGTAATAAATGATAATTAGATGTTGAGCATTAGGTATGAAGGAGCAGAGGAACCTAATTGGATTTGAACAGATTTTCTGATATACTAATCAAAAGGTAATCCTGTAACTGTAATAACTAACATTTAATATGAAATCACTTGATTAGACATAAATTGCCTGCTCTTCACTTTGAGATTGAAAAAGGCTTTTAAAAGCCTTTTCTGATTAATAAATTAAAAGTTTATTGCAAATCATTTAGAAAATACAGGAAAGTGTAAAGAAGTAAAGATTAACCAAAATTCTACTAATCAGGTTGATATTTTGTATATTTTCTCAATTTTCTATACTGTTTTGCTGTAAAAAAAAATATTGTGAACATTTTCTTAGGTCATTAAAAGTTCTCCTTAAATAGTGAGCACAAGTGCTTGCCAGGTAGCATATAAGTGCTACATATAGGTTAACTCAGAATCTTCATGACATCCCTATGAGGGTTGGTACTATTATTACCATTCTAGAGATAAGGAAACTGAGCCTCAGAGAGGTTAATTAACTTGCCCAGTCAAATAATTAGAAGTGTCAGAGCCAGGGTGTAAACTCAGAAAGTTTGGTTCCAGAGTTTTGTCCTTTAGCAGCTCCCTAAAATATCTAATTTTCATCCTGTTCAAAGTAATGTGCTAATATGGAAAGAGCCTCAGAGGTCGTAGAATCTTCCTGGGACGTTTCAAGGTAGGAAGAGTGACACTGAGAGGCACAGAGTTAGCATAAAAATAAAAGAAATCTTTAAAAATGTAAGCATCTTGGGGCCAGCCCGGTGGCGTAGTGGTTAAGTTCACGTGCTGTGCTTTGGAGTGCTCTGCTCAGGTTCGGATCTCGGGTGAGGACCTACGCACCGCTCGTCAAGCCATGCTGTGGCGGTGTCCCACGTACAAAACAAAGGAAGATTAGCACAGACGTTAGCTCAGCGACAGTCTTCCTCAAGCAAAAAGAGGAAGATTGGCAACAGATGTTAGCACAGGGCCAATCTTCCTCACCAAAGGAAAAAAAAAAAAAGAAAATGTAAGCATCTTTTAGAACTGTAAGTAAAGGCAGAATTATTTTACTTCAGTTAGAATGGATGTAATATTGCATAGTGTGGTAGATTTTTAGACCCTGCAAATGAGACTCCTAATTTTCAAGCATGAAATTGTTGACATTTCAAATACATTGAGAGGAGTGATGAAAATATTGAACTGGGAATTAAAATATTTTTAAGGCAGCATCATTTACTATAATTTTTATTAGCACTGTGTCGTGTATTTGATATGCCTCTTTCCTTTGTAAATTCATGATTATGTCCATTTTTGTGGCAATAGAAATGGAGAAAAAGCTCTTGGAGGAAAGGACTTTAAAACAGAAAGTGGAGAACCTGTTGCTGGAAGCTGAGAAAAGATGCTCTATATTAGACTGTGACTTCAAACAGTCACAGCAGAAAATAAATGAACTCCTTAAACAGAAAGATGTGCTAAATGAGGATGTAAGTATTAAGTTTACTAATAAATAATAAACTATTTAATGAATTAATAGTAAACTAGGTTTATTTGTAAAGGTTCAATGATGGTTTCATAATTTTAAATTTTTTCTTGTAAAATAACATTCTACAACCTTTTAATTTTACTGAACTTGGATTATATACTAAGTGAATCATAACATAAAATTTTTCAGTTATTTTTACCTTAAGGACCATATTTTATTTTAAAAGTATAACATTATTGGGGCTGGCCTGGCGGTGTAGTGGTTAAGTTCACACGCTCCACTTCAGTGGCCTGGAGTTTACTGGTTCGAATCCCAGGCACGGACATATGCACCACTCATCAAGCCACATGTGGCAGTATCCCACATATAAAATGGAGGAAGATGGGTATGGATGTTATCTCGGGGCTAATCTTCCTCACACACAAAAAATGGTATAACATTATCAAAAATACAAAAGTTATCTTACTGCGAAATGAATTAACTGCCTAAGGGCAAAAATCTGTTTTACATCATCATATTTGCTACCAGCTTCATTGATGAGGAAAATCAAAATAATTTACTTATATACCCAGTACACAATTTATTTTTTAGGTTAGAAACTTGACATTAAAAATAGAGCAGGAAACTCAGAAGCGCTGCCTCACACAAAATGACTTGAAGATGCAAACACAGCAAGTTAACACACTAAAGATGTCAGAAAAGCAGTTAAAACAAGAGAATAATCATCTCATGGAAATGAAAATGAGCTTGGAAAAACAGAATGCTGAACTTCGAAAGTAAGTTAATTGAGACAAAGTTTTACTAATATGCACAACTATCCACATGTAAATTATCTTAATTTTGATTTATCTGAGAATTTTCTTTTGACCATTTTATTTTCTTGACCACATTTTCTCTTTCTCTCTATACAAGTAATGTATTGAGTGCCACTGTTGTCCTTCAAGAAGATATTTGCTTCCCTCCAAATTTTTTACTATTGCCACCTTACTATGATATAATCATAGAGAGAGTATTGGTGTTGGAGCAGAAGAAAATGTCTGGGATTTCACTCCATAGATTTCTCCTTAGGACTGTCCCTCAAGCTTATTGTCCATGTGCTTTTTGTTTGTTTCTTTCATTTCTGAGCTTGGAAATATTTGACTGTTAAGCAAACACCATATACATTTTTGAATAATTTTTTAGGATATACTCTAGTGCTTGATTTAGTTTACTTAGAAAATATTAAACATATTGTTAAAATACTTGTAAAGTATACTTTAAATATACTGTTAAAGTTTGTCCCATGCAGTCATTAGTATTATAATTACTTCTTCCCAATCATGACCAAAGATCATATTGGATCCCAGTTATTTGATGAGAGGCAGGCAGTGCAGTAGAGTGGAAAGAACATAGACCTTGAAGCCAGGCAGATTGAGTTGTGAGTTCCAGTTCCACTACTTACAAGCTAACCAACATTGGGCAAAATATTTAACCTCTCTTGAGCCTTTTATCATACGTACAAAAGGGGGCAGTAATAGATTCCTTGTTAGGAATCTTGTAAAGGATAACAGTGGTTTATTTACAGCATCTAGCACACAACAAATGGTAGGGACTACAACTATTAACTGTTACTACTACTATGACTACTACTAAGATTATTACTCTACTCTTATCATCATTGCTGATTGCCTGCTTTTTATATCCCTGTGACAGGTTGGTAAGACTGACACTACCTAGGAAGGGTATTCAAACATTGACACTACTTAGGAAAGGATGGTCATAAAGATTTTGTTCTTTTTGCTCATCTATTGCCTGGGTAAGCCTAGACTCTTAAACTTGATGAGATTTCAACTTTTAAAAATTGGAACTAGAGCCAGCCCTGATGGCCCAGCGGTTGAAGTTCAGCACACTCTGCTTTGGTGGCCTGGATTTGGTTTCCGGGCATGGAACCACACCACTTGTCAGTCAGTAGCCATTGCTGTGGTGGCGGCTCACATAGAAGAACTAGAAGAACCTACAACTATACACAACTATGTACTGGGTCTTTGGGGAGGAAGTAAAAAAAAAAGAGCAAGATTGGCAACAGATATTAGCTTAGAGTGAAACTTTCCCAGCAAAAAAAAAAAAAAAATTGGAACTAGAAACTTAAACAATATTCAGACATCTTCATCTTATCTTTGTTTTTTTTGTTTTTTGTTTCTTTTCATGTATATTAGCTATATTCTTCTCTCTCATTTTAGGCTAGCTTTTTCCGTTTAGCAGAAAACTTGGTCCTTCAAGAAGGAGAAACTCTAGAGATATGTCTTATAGCTTTATTTATTTGGAGAGACCCTGATTCAACTTTTCTGGATCCCAAGTTCAGAAAGTACCCAAAGTCATGGGATGGAACTCATTGGCCCGGCTTTAGTCAAGCCTAAGCTGTGGATCCTAGGTTCTAGGGAACACGGTTTTAAAACCACTTGACTAAACAATTATTCTCCATAGTATCTGTTCCAACAACAGTGTCTATATGAATGCAGGAGCTACTTTAATGTCTAGATTGTGTTTCCTCTCCTGTTCTAATTACACTTTGTTTATACCTAACTTATGATACTTAGTATATATGCTTCTTGTTTTCTTTGTAAGTGCACGTGGCTCTGTTGTTTCTTAATCCCTCAGTTTCTAACCCCTCCTCCTCAGAGATACCCACATTTGCTGTCTTAACTACCTAGTACATTATGAGTTCATTGAATGGCAAAAATCACTTACTATGTTTTGCTTTATCTAACCGTGATTAATGTCCTGCACATAGTAAATCCTCAATAAATGTTGCATGAATGAATGCATATCTATTATATGTAAGGTACTGATAGTCACTTTGGGAGATTCAAAGATGAATCAGATGCATTTCCTACCTGTAGGAAGCTTACTATCATTTTATCAGATGTTATTCCTTAGGAAGAGGTAAGACTAATTAGAATACAAAGTAAAAAAAAATACATACAGTGGGAATTTACATATGAAGTGCTATGTAGGCTTGCATTTGAAAATGACCAACATATATCTTTTCTTCCAAGATTCCAGTAAAATTCTAGTAAACGAATTTTTAAAATGTATAAACCCACATCAAGAATTACAGTGGCTTAGAGGACACAAAGTTCCTTGAGTTAATGAGATAGTGGAAGTGGATGAAAACCCTCTGACTAGTGAAGTAGAGCAAAGCAAGTGACAGCCAGGAGTATATGTGAAGTGGGATAGAGATGAAGGAAAAAAGTTTCATTATTCAAAACAAATACCTTAACGGGCTAGAGTAAGACGTGATGCTATAAATGGAACAATCTGCTAATCATACTCTACCACCACCACTTGCAGAAGTGTCTGTAGTCAGGCACTACCACCACTAGGGTTCCTACAGAGCATTCCCTCTAAAGAAATTGGGCACACTCTCTGTGGATGATTAGAACAGCTGCTATGGGGTCAGCAGCTCAGAGAAAAGCCTTTTTCATTCTGGCATTTAGGGGCTCCCTTGCTTAATGCTGCTTGTTAAGCCTCTCATCTTAAACTAAAGTTCGTCAGTTAGAAAACCCTTCCCATATACATGGAGATTAAAATTTCTATCGCCTTCTTTGTAAATGAGTAACCAAGTATCACTGGGCATTTGAGGAAAGCCTGCAATATGGAAGAGAAAGACTGATAAAGCAAAAGGAAAAGTGCCCCCAGATGAAACATATATCAAGGAATGAAGAGAAGTTAAATAAATAGAAAGCACACACAAAACAACCCTGCTGATAATAATTAGTATTGAATAAGATTCTAGGAGATACTACTTCCATTAAACAAGAACCAGATGTAATGCAAATGGGGCAGCCAGAATGGGAAAGAGCTCATGAAGATTAAAAATTACTGCCAATATAAATTTATTAGAAGGATTTGAAGAAAAAGTACAGAAATTTCACAAAATGTGGAACAAGAAGGAATGACGTGGAAGGTATGAGAGAAATAGGTAAGACACGGAGACTGTTCTAGGAGTTCTAGCAGCAGACAAATAAGAATTCCAGAGAAACCAAGGAGAGGAAATTATTAAAGAAATAATAGAAAAGAATTTCCTATAGCTGAAAGAGAAATCTTTAGATTGAAAAGACCCAGCAAAAATAGATGAAAAAAGACTCATATTTAGACATGTTCTTATGAAATTTAAAAAACAGAAAGGATGGGAATGTTACGGTTCTCATCTCAAACTGGGGAGGTTGTGGTTTGTGGTTGATGTAATAGAAAATGGAGGTTTGATTATTTCACTTAGGCCAGTGATACAACTGTGTTGGAGGTTTGGGAGAGGTTAGGGACGATAAGAACGAAATTCGCAAGTTGGCAGAGAATTGGTAAATAATAATTAAAATTTATGTCAAGAAATAAGCTGAGATGTGGAGGTAACTACCAAAAGAACAAAACACAAAAATGAAACAAAGTGGTTTCCTCTAGCAGAGTAGTATTAGGTGGTGGAGAGGTGCGGATAAGGAGACTGCTACCTTTCGCTGTAATTTTTTCTGTGCTGTTGGCACTATTTAATTATAACCATGTGCATATTATGGGGTTACTTTCTGAAAAATACTTTTCTTAAATACCTAATAAATGTTAGGTTTTTAAAGTTACATATAAATGAATGATAGCAGCTTCTCAAAATGATCATGATATTAAAATTATACTGGGGTTTACTGCAAATGGGCTTAGCTGGTGATGATGAGAATTTTAGAAGTTGGCATTTGATATGTTATTAATTAGCATCTTTCACATTTTTGAAATTTTGATATCTGAGAAATAAGAATCATCATTTCTTAGTAATATACTCATCAATAATAACACAGATTAAGTGATATTGAGTGATAACTTCCTTTTTATCCAGAGATTTAAGGGCAAATGAGTAAACAAAGTGTCCAAATTATGTTAAATGAGAATAAGGATAAAAGTCCTAAGGAATATACAAATTGAAGATGGTATGATTAAATCATTTGCTCTCTCTGAGTCTTGCTTGCTATATACATTTTTTAAATACCCAAGTGTTATTCAAATACTTTCTCACTATAAAATACTCGGAACTATATTAAAAAATAAACAGAAAACAGTCTAAGTTCCGCTTTATGAATGCAGACATATTTCATCTCTCCAGAGGTAACATATTTTAACAGTTTGTTGTTTATCCTTCCAGACCTTTTTCTATGTCTGTACCTGTACATCTGTACAATATATATAGGGTTGAGTTTTTTGTGGATTTTTGTTTGTTTTTTAATTACATCTTGTATGTTGGGTTGTTCTCAAACTTGCTTTTTTTCCCCCTTAGCTTTGACTTGGAATAACTATAATTTTTATGGTTTTTAGTCATCCTAGAATTTAACTTATTTCAACCCAACCTCTTAAATGGGTTGTTAGGTTCACTTTTTATTTAATTTTATTTCTTAATTGAAGATTAACATACATACAGAAAAAGTACACAAATGAAAAGTGTAGAGCTCAATGAATTTTTACAAAGTGTACCAATCTGTGCAGTCACTGTCTATATTTAGATATAAAAACCTGCACTTCTTACCTCCCCTCAGGCACCCTCCCAGTCATTTCTTCGCTCATCCTAAGGTAAACAATTTTCAGGTGCTCTTTTAATTCTACTACTTGGTTGGCATAAATGGCTGGTCATAGTGCATGTATGAGAATATGTAATTTAGTGTCATTGGTTTAATATAGTACTATTTGCACTCCTTTATACTCTTAAAAATTATCGAGGGCCCCAAAGAGTTTTTGTTTATATGAGTTATATCTAATCATATTTTTTGTGTTAGAAATTAAAACTGAGAAATTTTTAAAACACAAGAACATACAAGCACACTTTTCATTAGCTCTTGGAGTGATGACATCATTATATGTCATATAGCCTCAAGAAAAGTCCATATACACTAGTGAGAGAATGAGCTTTGAAAAAAAAAATGCAATGATGCTTAGTATTATGAAAATAATTTGACCTCATGAATTCTCTGGAAGAGTCTTAGGGACTCCCAGGAGTTCCCCAGACCACATTTCAAGAGTTGCTGTTTAGTATGTGTATAACTTATTTAAACCTTTGATGCAATGTCCCCACAGAGAACGTCAAGATGCAGATGGGCAAATGAAAGAGCTCCAAGATCAGCTTGAAGCAGAGCAGTATTTCTCAGTAAGTTCCGGGCACATTAATTTGAAAATTGTTGTATTTGTAGAATTTTTAAAAAAATTTTGCCATAGAACCAGGAGAATGATTCTAGTCTTTAGAATGATTCTTATAGCAAACACCAGACAGAGTTTTGGATGGGATGTTTCATACCATACAACTCATATGAAAAGAACAACTGGGCAAGAGACTGTAGATAGTTTAACAGAAATCCATTTATCATTGCTAGAAAAATAGTTCTAAGCATATACCCCTATGCTATGAAGTTGATTAGAAGCATTGCTTTTTGAGGAAGAATTATATTTTCATAATGAAAGAAATAAAATTGTCATTTTAGTATTTGTACTTTTTTGAGATCAGTTTTAAAATATGAAGTAGTAACTGTCACCAAGTTTCATTGATTTAAGCTAACAAAATTTTCTTGTCTAAATTAGTAATACTTTTTTTTGCCTCTTCATCCCACCAGTCTGTCATTCATGAGAAATCTCACTATGGTATCCAGTTCAAAATCATGCTTCTAAATTATTAGCTGAACTTTTACTAGTTAGTTGGTTGATTACCAGAAAATAGAAAAACTCATTAAAGTATGAATTTGCTAAGGGCTCAACATTACTCAGGGTTATGAGCATATTTGTATGTGTTCAGCTTGACTTTTGGTCTGTATAGATTTTGACTGTAGAAATAACATTCCTAATGATGATGATGATATAGGTTTCTGTTATATTTTGCTATTTAGACCCTTTATAAAACACAGGTTAGGGAACTTAAAGAAGAATGTGAAGAAAAGACCAAACTTTGTAAAGAATTACAGCAGAAGAAACAGGAATTACAGGATGAAAGGTAAGGACAAGATCTTTGTCTCTTTTTGTCATAGCCGTGTACTCTGCTCCTAGAACAGTGCCTGCTATACTCCAAATAAAAATTTGTTGATGGAGTGAATTAGATAAAAACTGACTCATTGTGAAAATTGAATATTAAAATGATATATCTCTAAAATGTAGAGACTCCTTGGCAGCTCAACTGGAGATCACCTTGACCAAAGCAGATTCTGAGCAGCTGGCTCGTTCAATTGCTGAAGAACAATATTCTGATTTGGAAAAAGAGAAAATCATGAAAGAGCTGGAGATCAAAGAGATGATGGCTAGACACAAACAGGAACTCACTGAAAAAGATGCTACAATTGCATCTGTAAGTAAAATTCTTGATTCTTTTTTGAGTATAATTAAATTACCATATCATAAATCTTTCTTGGAAACACTAAGAAAGTAACATAGATCTAAATGAAAAATTGTATATGCTGGCTACAGGATTTGTGATCCAGTTAACCATTAGCTTCTTAGTGTTGTCTGGCAGAGAGGCTCAAGAAGGCTACTTCCAGTGGCTTCACCTCTTGGTGAATTCAGAGTTAAAGGACTGAAGTGAAAGAGAAAAACCAAAAGTGGAAAACAGATTAAGCCAATTTTTTCTTGTTAAACAAAGTTTAATTCAAAAGAATCTTAAAACTACCATGAAGATAGTCATAGGCAAGTTGAAAAAAAATTGCATTAAAAATTTCAAAGAGAAGTAAAATATCAGCTGGTTGAGTTTGCTTTTATCAGTTATCCAGATCTATTGAAATGTTACACTAGTTAACAAGTGTGCTATCAGAACAGGGAACAGGGATATTTAATCCTGTTCACTGGAAATGAGTAGGGAGGCCAGAAATAGATTCATGCACATTCAGGAACTTTGTATATGATGGAAGTGACAATATACAAATGAGTGGGAAAGGATGCAGATTTAATAAATGGTTTTCGAATAACTATATTTTTATGTGGAAAGGAATAAAATTAGATCCTTTTCTTTTACCACATACACAAGTAAATTCTATCTATCTTAGGGACCTAAATATGAAAAAGTAAAAATTTTAAACTATTAGAACGGTATCCAAAACTTGCTTTAACAGAAGACAACAAATAAATGACAGGGAGAAGATATTTGTAATGTATTTATTTAACAAGGGATCAGTATCAAGAATATGTGTGGAACTGCTACAGTTCAATAAGAAAAAGTGAAACAATCCAGAAGAAAAATTGGCCAAAAGAGAAAATAAAAAAGTATAAGCAAGTGCTTAACCTCACTAGTCTTTATGAAAGGCTAGGTAAAATACCTTTGAAATACCATTTCATACTCATCACATTAGCAAAAATTCAGTATCTGACTAATTGCAGGTGTTTGAAGAATATCTGAAAAATGACTCTTATTTACTCCTATAGGGACTATGAATTTAGTATGGCCTAGTATAGTAAATAGTAAATTTTAAATGTTCATATAATCCAAAGAAAATCTACATTGAGATAAATATGCTAGAGAAATTCAGGCATAATGCTCATAGCAGCCTAAATGTTTGTAATAGCAAAAATTCAAATGTCTTATCAAAAGGCGAATAAATGGATTAATGAAATGTGGTAGAAGATGGAGCTACTATTTCAGTTAAAATGATTTAATTAGGTCTTTATATATCAGCTGTTTAATTCTTAACATAATGTCAAGTAAAAGCAGTTACAGAAGGATAAATACAGTGTGATGCTATTTATGGACAATTTAACATCACATAAAACCACACTATGTATTTTTTCATGTGTATGTAATAAAAGTATACAGTCATGGGTAGGAAGTGTGAACACACAATTCACAATAAAATTTCCTTCAGGAAGGAAGAACAGGAATAGGTTTGGAGAGAATACAAAAGGATGTCAACCTCTTTAGTAAAATTTTGTTTTCTGTCTTATTAAAGTTTGTATTCCTGAAAGAAATACTACAGTTTTAAAATTTGTTTATTCTGCATGATGGAATGCAGAGCTTTCTTATAGTATTTGCCTTTCTTAGTTTATTAAATGTTTTTCTCATTAAAAAATAGTGCTAAGGATTTTTGAGAAAAGGGCAATTTTTTTGGCTTCCTGAGTTGCATATGAAGTCTATTATGGTTAGCAAAGTTTTCATCAAGGGTGAAGTTTGGTAAGACAGTAACACAAAGGCAAGAAGTGTAGAGATAGATGTACTTAGAAAAACACGAGCTTTAGCAACATTCTAGGATATTTTCATTTTGAATTATTGCTTTATAACTTAAATTTTGTACATTGGGATATGATTTTTTTCTCATTTTTATTTCTTAGCTTGAAGAAACTAATAGGACACTAACTAGTGATGTTGCCAATCTTGCAAATGAGAAAGAAGAATTAAATAACAAATTGAAAGATGCCCAAGAGCGTAAGTAGTAACAAAGAATAAGGCTTATTTTAAATATACCTAATGTTTGTCAGTTGCTGTTGTTATTAATAAAATGGTTACATCTTTCCATGTTTCAGAACTCTCAAGGTTGAAAGATGAAGAGATAAGTGCAGCAGCTATCAAAGCACAATTTGAGAAGCAACTGTTAACAGAGAGAACACTCAAAACTCAAGTATGTGTAATAAACTCTAAATATGATTTTGAATTTTTTTAGTTTCTCTTTTTTACATTTTACTTCTAGCATTACAGATTGGCAGGAGCAGTCATTGAATGTATTAGTATTTGTGAACAGTCACAATTATCTGATTTTTGCCAGGTTGAGAAAAGCTAGATTTGATTAACATTGTCCAGTTCAATGTTTATTAAAGTTTTTCTTAAGTTTTTCCATATGGAATCACATTCCCTCCTAATTTTTTACTGTAATGTGGTCAGTTTTTCTGCTTTTAAGAAACTACAGAGAATGACCATTTGCTAACAGCCTGAAAAAGGGTCAGTTAGTCTGAAAAGGCACACGTGATGATTGATCATCCTTCTGCCAACTCTCATGGTTGCATATGAGAATACTTGTGGGTCTCAGATGCTCTGCTCTGTGATTGGACGTGTATTTTATTAATGTGATGCCAATGCAAAATTCTCTTCCTTCAGGATAAAAGAAGATCTGCCTCGTAAAAGTTTCTCTTGGAACTAAAAACTCGAAGTGGTAGAAAGTGACATCAGATCAAACCTATAAACATTTTTTTTTGTGAGGAGATCAGCCCTGTGCTAACATCCGCCAATCCTCCTCTTTTTTTGCTGAGGAAGACGGCCCTGGGCTAACATCTGTGCCCATCTTCCTCCACTTTATATGGGACGCCGCCACAGCATGGCTTGCCAAGCAGTGCGTCGGTGCGCGCCGGGGATCCAAACCAGCGAACCCCGGGCCGCCGCAGCGGAGCGCGCGCACTTAACCGCTTGCGCCACCGGGCCGGCCCCAAACCTGTAAACATTTTAAATTACAGTTCTCTGAAAACATGAGAGTGAAAGACTGAGTATAGGTTGGAGAAGGATAATGAGCAATGAAGGAGGTCTGTTACTTTAGAATCTAGAAAGTGTTTCTTTGTGGCCTCGTGTATAGGGAAGGAGATTATTAGTGGTTGTATAACTTGCTGTTGGTGAATTACCAAGAAACCGTCAACATAATTTATTTTATTTATTTACATACTTATTTTTATGTTTTTAAGGCTGTGAATAAGTTGGCTGAAATCATGAATCGAAAAGAACCTGTCAAGCGTGGTAGTGACACAGATGTGCGGAGAAAAGAGAAGGAGAATAGAAAGCTTCATATGGAGCTTAAATCTGAACGTGAAAAGTTGACCCAGCAGATGATCAAGTATCAGAAAGAACTGAATGAGATGCAGGCTGTAAGAATACTTTTTGGACTCTAGATTGAAGACTTCTTTTTAAGAAGTAGAGTTATTTTCGTGTCTGTATATATTTTATTGGTTATAGAACATTTTTATTACTTAGTAATTATTATTGAACTAACAAGGAAAATTATGAGATGTATGGCATCCAATTAATTTAATGTAATTTAATTTCTTGTAGCAAATAGCTGAAGAGAGCCAGATTCGAATTGAACTGCAGATGACACTGGACAGTAAAGACAGTGACATTGAGCAGCTGCGGTCACAGCTCCAGGCCTTGCACATTGGTCTGGATAGTTCCAGTATAGGCAGTGGACCAGGGGATGCTGAGGCAGATGATGGGTTTCCAGGTACAGATTTGTTTTCAGCCCTTAAGTTTATTTTTATTGAAAGCCTTTTGCCTTACATATAAATCAGTTGATTGTTCTAAGCCCTGTGACTGACTTTGCTCTTGAGGAAAAATGTTTGTCATTCCTTTAAGGGAAAACCTACTCCTTGGAGTGGGGATTCAGTGACAGTTTAAACTTATTTATTGATTTTTAACAAAATTTTTCATTACAAAATGCAAAAGAAAATTCCACATATGTAGTTATTTAAATTGGCTCTTTGTGTATGATAGGTAGCTCTCTTTTTAAAGCTTTCGTTTTATTTTCTCTTAACCTCTTTCTGCATTCTTACTTCCTTTTATGTTGGGTGTTTAGTTCATATCACTCAGTCACACACTATGGAATCCATGTCATTCACCTACCAACGTTCCTCTACTTCTCTCAATATTGCCACTAAGCCTTCCAGTTCTCATATGCTCCTTGACTCTGATTCTGACTCAGAAGAAGAATCTTTGCCCTACTTACCTATTTCATCGGAACCTAATGGTACAGGTGATATCCTGAAAATCTTTCACCTTTGGGGTTTTTCTCACTACCCTTAATTTCAGTCCTTTTGAAAAATTTTTTTAACATTAACTAATATTCACTAACTCTAACAAGTTGCTCTAGTGTCAAAGAACTGCTGCATGAACAAAGAATTTGTTTTTAAGATATTTTCACATGGCATTGCTCTTATACAATTGATAGATTTATTTTTTTTGTCAACTTACAAGAAATGGAGCAGTACTTTACATCATTTAAGAACATGTGGTTTCTCACTGCCTGTTTCATCTATTTTCAACCAAGAAGAAATTCTTTCTGAAGTTTCATATCACGAGTGACAGTACAGAAAAAAAACATGTGGACTGTTTCAGAGGATGTGTTTAGCTTTTCATTGAGTGCTTACCTGGTCAACATTGTGCTAGGCCTTAAAAGAGAACAGAAGACAATTTGACCTGAACCTTGCCCTGAAAGGATTTATAGTTTAAGTGAAGAAACCAGATGGGCAATACATAAAATTGTTATGTTTAAGACAAAGTTAGTGTAAGTGCAAAAAATGTTTAATGTAAATGGCATAAGAAATTAGTGTATGAGCAGTTGAATGTAAAATTTAGTATCTTATTAATTGAATTCAAAGTAAAATAGCTATAGTTATCCACATTGTTGTCACATTTCCCGGGTATATATCAGCATGTGATATAAATCATAAGTGACTGTACTGAGGTTGCTTTGGATCTTAGCATAAAATTACTTCAGTCTTAACTGTATTGTTAGAGGTCATTTAATTTAGTCCCTTAAATTGATGTAGGACGATGTCCACACAGTTGAGTATATGGGCTGTTTTTAATGACAGCATTTCTGTTCATAAAGTCTGGAAGGTTGTTGATGTGAGAGAAGAGTATTAGACACTGGAGTCAGAAATATGTCCCTTTGTGACCTTTCTGTGGGGTTGTGAAGATTAAAGAAAATTTATGTAAAGCATCTAGCACAGTTCAGACACGTAGTAGATGTTAAATAAGTGATAGCTACTTTTATTATTAGAATAACCTCCAAAGATGCTTATTATTTCACTTAATTATTTCATTAAAAGATACTGATAAAATGCCATTAGAACACATTCTAAGGATTCAACAGTTTCCTTTGTGGAGCCAAAATTTTATTTATATCGATACTTTGAAATTTAGAAATCTTTTGGTTATGTTGCTGCTCATTAACCAAATTTGATCTGTAATTTACACAATTTCATTTCTTTTTATTATGGTCATTCTAAAAGTCCCATTTTCTCTGAACACATAATTACTCACTTAAAATGTTTTCTCTTTGAAGGAGATGTGCACTATATCTATAGTTAGGCCTTCTTCCAAGGGAAAAGTAAAGGGTTCTGATACAGGTGTACTGGTGAGAATAGAAAGCTGCTTCTCTTTTTTTTGCAGTTTTTCTGCTGAACTTTGCAAATGCATGAATTTAATCAACGGGCATTTGACCTTATAAACTATAGAATATATATTTCCAATGTGATATAACCTGGATTTTGTTTTGCATTCCATAACTTGCTTATACTGATCTTGCATTATTATTAGATCCTACATAATGTATAATGATAAATTCTGAAGGGCATATTTAATTTGTTTTATGATCTTTATATTAACATTTTATTAAATTCCTCATTTTCTTAGGATAGAGTTGTTATATTTATCCTCATATCCTGTGCTTATTTTATAGAATCAAGACTAGAAGGATGGCTTTCATTGCCTGTGCGAAACAACACTAAGAAATTTGGATGGGTTAAAAAGGTATTTGGTGCTTTTGAATATGATTCTTTTGTTTTGCTTCTGGTTTAGCTACAGCCATTTCACTTTTGTAGTTGTATGATATATATAGTTAGAACTTTTAAATACATAAAACTTGTTGCAGTTTCTGATTTGGAATGATATGATTTTATGGATCTTTGTCAAAAAAAATAACTTTTTTGTCATTAACGTGTTGCTAATAATAAAACAGGTTTTGGTGTTAGGAAAATAGAAGCCTGTTAACCTTGGGACTTTTGCTGATTCAGTGGGAAAACAACTCTGGATATGATGGAAAGACCCATTTATTTCTTTTCCCCTGTTACTGATTTAATATTATTATGTTCATTTTTCATAAGTATCTTAGTCCATTCAGGCTGCTATAACAAAATACCACAGACTGGGTAGCTTATAAACAACAGAAATTTATTTCTCACAGTTCTGGAGGCTGAAAGTCCAAGATTAGGGTGCCAGCATGGTTGGGTTCTGGTGAGGGCCCTCTTCTGGGTTGTGGACTTCTTTTTGTGTCCTCACACATAGAAGCGGCTATGGATCTCTCTGGAACCCCTTTTATAAGGGCACTAATCCCATTCATGAGGGCTCTGCTCTCATGACCTAATTACCTTTCAAAGTCCCGACCTCCAAATACCATTCCATTAGGTGTTAGGATTTAACACAAGAATTTTGGGGGAACACAGACATTCAAACGATAGCAATAAGGTTACCTACACTATTTGAAGTATATAGCTTGAAGCTATATCAGTCCAAAAAATATTTGAATTCATTTCCTCCCCAACTTGCTTATTTAAAACATATACAAACAAAATTTATTGTTATTTTAAGGAAGACTTTTCTAAGAATATATTCAGAACTTTTTAGTTATTAAACTTAGGTATTTTTTGTGATTTTTATTGCTAATATAGAATTTATTTTCAAACAAAATAAATAAGATACATATTAACTTTAATCATTGTTTAATTCCTTCTCTCCCTCTTTTTAACAGTATGTGATTGTAAGCAGTAAGAAGATTCTTTTCTATGACAGTGAACAAGATAAAGAACAATCTAATCCTTACATGGTTTTAGATATAGAGTAAGTTTTTATTAGAATATTTAGAAACTTCATCTTTTAGAGTATAAGAGAGTAACATGACCTTTTTTGTTAAGTTAGTGCAATTTATTAGTCATATAGTACTCATATGTATATACTCATGTATATACTCATATAGTATAGCTCCTACTGTACTGTTATATTTTCTTAAATTTGCTTCATATAGATGAAAGTCTGGGGTATAGAATTAGCTAAAATATCTTTATTTCATGGGTTTTTAATGTGTTGTTTTCTGAAACTAATAGAAAATTTCTGGCTTACTGGAAATTTCTCAAAATCTTGAGGAGTGGTTGAATTAATAGAGCAAGATAGTCTCTGACCTTCTAACATGGGTCAAAGTAGTCAGTTTTAACTTATGACATAAGTATAGGATAACTAATATAATTTGATTTTTTGGTAATATTTTATTCCTTTATAAAAATCTTTTATAGCAAGTTATTTCATGTCCGACCAGTTACACAGACAGATGTATATAGAGCAGATGCTAAAGAAATTCCAAGGATATTCCAGGTAAACATAGTTTTATTTTGTTTTTGGTTGGTTGGTTTTGTTTTGTTTTTTCGCCTGTAGAAGTTCTCACTATAACATGACATATCAAATTCCTTATTCTTGGGCCTTTTTCTAGATTATCTTTCAGTTTAGTCCCATTTAAAGGTGATTCATTCTTTTTGACTTTGATGCTTATTCTGTTTGGATACATCTTCATTTCTCTCTCCATTTTACTTGTTCAAGTCTGTAGTGTTTATATCATGTTTCTGGCCTTTGCTATCCTTTTGTGCAAGGTTGGTTATGACATTTTTTAAGCATGAACTTTCTCCTTCTGTGTTTGGTTTTATGCTCAGCTCTCTACAAAGTTAAAAAAGTTCCTTGTGAAGTTAAGTTTTGTACCCAGTAGCCCTTTTACTTCCAATTTAAAGTAAAGCCAACTTCTTTCCTTTACTACTTCCATTTTAAAATTAGTCAAACCCACAATTAGTTATTAAATTCCTTCTGTGTAAAAGCTATTATGCTTGGTGTACTGTGGGGGAGTTGGCTGCTTATTTTCTGTGTGCCTATAATATTTATTTGGAGTATATTATACATCCTTTCCTCCTTTCCTTTCTTCCTCAACTCTCCAAATACAAATCTTTTCAATTTAAGCTTTGTTTGCAGTTATCACCCAGTTGTCTGTTTTTTGAGAATCGTAAATCAACAATTTGTATAATTGCTACATCTCTTCAGGTGATTGTTTTGAACACTCCCTCCCAGAACAACTTTCTAACACCTGTCAAGGGAAAATTTACCTTTTGCTGGCCTATTCTGATAAATTTGCTAAACCATAGTAAGATATCATGGAGAAAATAAGGAAATACCATTTGAACAGGACTGATTGTTTTGAAATGTGAACCAAAGTGATGGTCTAATGACTTTTCTCATATAAGTTCTCGATTAAACAGACCTACTAACGTTTGAACATCAAACGCATTTTTTTCTCATTGAATAATTTAGGCTAATTTTATTTTATTTACACTATAGGAATCGCTACTACATAAAAAATAACTTAGGTTTAGAAATGATTCATTGTTCTTTTTGTTATTTATAGATTCTGTACGCTAATGAAGGAGAAAGTAAGAAGGAACAAGAATTTCCAGTGGAGCCAGTGGGAGAAAAATCAAATTATATTTGCCACAAGGGACATGAATTTATTCCTACTCTCTACCATTTCCCAACCAACTGTGAGGCTTGTATGAAGCCACTGTGGCATATGTTTAAACCTCCTCCTGCTTTAGAGTGTCGTCGCTGCCATATTAAATGTCATAAAGATCACATGGACAAAAAGGAGGAGATTATAGCACCTTGCAAAGGTAAATAGTAAATTACTTGCTCCACCAATATTATTTATGTTCAGATCGTTTAGAATGTATTAATTTTTTTCAAATTTTTTTATAGTGTATTATGATATTTCAACGGCAAAGAATCTATTGTTATTAGCAAATTCTACAGAAGAGCAACAAAAGTGGGTTAGTAGGTTGGTGAAAAAGATACCTAAAAAGCCTCCAGCTCCAGACCCTTTTGCACGGTCATCTCCTAGAACTTCAATGAAGATACAACAAAACCAGTCTATTAGGCGGCCAAGTCGACAGCTTGCCCCAAACAAACCAAGGTAATAAATAAAAATGTAGTAAAAATTAAAATGTTTTAAAAAATATTTTACTATTTATATTCAAATTACAAATTTTCATAATTATAGTTTTCTTTTGCTTGCTATTTTAGTGAACCATGGAATACCAGATGTTTGAAACTGTTTTAGTGTGCATGTCTCATTCGTTGATTTGGATGAGTGTAATATAAATTTATTTAGTAAACCACACACATATACTAAATTCAACCAGAAAGATATAAAGGGCTCATTTTTGTCATATTTATGTGTATAATCATAGTATTTTAGGATTTTACAAGCACATTGACTAATTTAGTGATTTAGTAGACAGGATGCACACACACACCTTTAAGTGTCAGGTGTACACATTGTGTTTAATATCACAAACCTCTTAAACCTCTTTTATGTTAGATGACTTGGGAGGCAGGACTGAAATCTTCTTAAGTCTTAATTCAAATCTATAAGTTTAAAATAATAACTTGTCTCTGATTTAAAGAGTAATATAGATCAGCTTTAAAAATATTAACTAATGGGTATTAGTTAATATTTTTATGGGTACATTATAGTAATTTAATTCTTGATTCAGAATAACCATTTCTTGGCTTACTAGCTACTACAGCATTTATAAAGATTGCTATTCATTGAAATGAACATGATCTGTTTAGCTAAAGGATGAAGTATATATTTAGCTCAGGTATGTAATTTCAGGTGTCCTCTTTGTTCCCTAACAGAGGACCTTCAGTATATGAATAATGATGTGCATTGGCTGTATTATCAGAAGTCTTTTCATTCTAACCACAAACATCTTATATGAAACTTTTCTTGAAACTAATATCTCAAGGAAATAATTTAGAATGACAAGGGTAGAATTGGTGTTTCAGCAGTGAAAATATTGAATTTTTGTGTGAGGTATGATGAAACTAAATATTATACAATTAGTGATTATATGATAGTAATTAAAGCTGAAGAAACTCAAAAGAATTCAGAGACACTGAAGGTCATTCCATGTGCCATGTGCAAAACATCTAAAAATTAAATTTCTATTATTAATATTGTAGAACCATTAATGCATAAATGCTATGCTATTTTAATACCTTACAATATAATGCTTTATAGCTTCCAGAGTGCTTCCATATGTATTCTGTTCTGTCATTTAACTTCCTGTATATTCTTTCATTTGATCTTTAAAATACTCCTATGGGGTAGAATAGGTATTATTAGCTTTCTTTCTGATTGAGACTCTAGAAGGGCAAGTAATTTGTTTAGATTCAAGACCTTAAGAATTTCAGTCGTTTTGATATATTTTATTCTTTTGTGCTGTTTGACAAGTTAATGATTTCACTACATATGATAACACATAGAATTAGTTTATGAAGCAGTTTTCAGACCGAGGCATGTTTTCAATTACATAACAGTTTTCATGTTCACTGACTTGATAAATACTTTCTTTGTCCCCCCTCCCTCATGCCAATTCAAGATTATGGTCTATTTGACAGCACATTTACTTTTTATTTTTGTTACTTTTTGTTTTGTTTTAGTTCTGGCCCTGCCCTTCGAATCATTCTTCATTGATTTTTTTAATACATTTTGCATAGCAACAGTAAGTAATAGGGATTTCTTTCTCTCACAGCTGTGCATGTAGATAAAACTAATATTAAAACTGACTGTAAAATGTATAGGGTATTTTTGTGAAAATTTTTTTATCTAATATATGACATTTTAAACATAAAGATGGGCACATCTGAAGTATAATTTTGTATTTTATTATGCCTCTGCAACATTATTTCCATTGTTTTTAACATCTTTGCCTCTGTACTAACTTTACTAACTCATCAAATTGTATCTGTATCTGTCTTACATGAATCACCTTACAGTTTCCATTCCATTTTGGGTGTCATATTTTAAGAGTAGCATATACAAATTGGAGGGAGGGTATACAGAAGAGAACAACTGAGGTAGTAGTGGGTCATTTAAAAGTGTTACACGTGTAGCAAGTGAAGGAACTAAGGATATTTAGACTTCTGAAGAAATGATTTGAAAGGATGGGAGATCATAAATAGCAATAAAGATTTAAAGGACTTTTCATTGGAAGATATATTAGAACAAGAATCAAGCAGAGACAGGCACATTTTTAACTCAGCAAGGGAAAACTATCAGGGAATCAGAGATTTCTAAAATTGGAAGAATTGGCTTGTTCTAGAATAGTGAGTGCCCTGTCATCATAGTTGATGTGATTGAGATGACTACTTGACAAAGCTGAGAGCAGAGCTCCTCAATCTGTCATCTGTGTACAAGCTGACATTGAGTAGCATGGCTCTAGAGAGGAGTCAAACACTGGACTGGATGTTAAACATTAAAACAAAGGTTTGGCTTTCTTAGACATCATCAATACACACTAAAACATAATGCCCATAAATATTCATCTAATTTTTTTTTTAACTTTTCATCAGTGTCTTTGTTAATAACTGCACCATTACATTTTTTTCCTTTGGACATTCCTGGTTCTGATTTTCCTCTTAACTCTCTTTGCAGCACTTCCCTTTTTCCATACTGAAGTGTTTTAAAGTAATAGTTAAGTAAGTGTTAGCTACTATTACTATATGAAATAACATTTTTGAGGGCATATTATGTGCCAGGCACTCTTCTGAGAGTTTTAACTATACTAATTTATTCTCATAACCACCCTGTGATTTAGCTGTTAATGTCTCCGTTTAACAGATCAGGAGACTAAGGCACAGAAACATTGTGTGGCCAAGGTCACACAGCTAATAAGTAGCATAGTCATGAGTTCTGATCCAGATAGTCTAGTTCGGATCCTGCATTCTCAACTGTAATACTCCACTGCCTCACGGTAATATGAGTAGAAATGAATTAATTGACAGCTTATAAAACATAATGTGTAGAAAGGCTATTCTAGTGGCATGTTGGTAATTTTGAATTAAAATACTATGGGGGGCCGGCCCGGTGGCACAGGTGGTTAAGTGTGTGCACTCCGCTGCGGCAGCCTGGGGTTCGCCAGTTCGGTTCCCGGGCACGCACCAACGCACTGCTTGTCAAGCCATGCTGTGGCGGCATCCCACATAAAGTGGAGGAAGATGGGCATGGATGTTAGCCCAGGGCCGGTCTTCCTCAGCAAAAAAAGAGGAGGATTGGCAGATGTTAGCTCAGGGCTGATCTTCCTCACACACACAAAAATAATAAATAAATAAATAAAATTAAAATACTATGCTGAAAAAGTAGAAAATTTGTGAATAAAATGCTGACTTTTGATGAAGACAGTTTGAAGAGATCCTAATTTGTTCCAATGCAGCATACAAAATACCAGTCTCTGCTGAGGGCATGTCTCTTTAATTATTTTTCTTTTAAAGATCTTTTTTTTTTTTTTTAAATGCCATATTTAAGCCACACAGAAAAGTATAAAGCAAAAATGCAACAAATGCTAACAGTTTTAAGAAAGAAAGCATTGACAACATATTTAAAACTTAAAGGTGTTGGGGAGCTCTTATGTCATCCTTATCTTTGTTCTTTTCCATTTCTAAGTATTAGAAAATTAATAGACTAGTTATTTGGGGAAAAACAATAAAGCTACATACAACTTGAAGTATCAAAAGTAAATCCATAAATGAAGTAGAAGAAAATAGATAAATATGTATCTGATCTTGGATTGAAGAACTTCCTAAGAATAAGAACAAAGAAAGAAAATAAAGTCAGAGATTGACTAACCAAAAATTAAAGCTTTATAATTTTTAAAAACACCATATATTTGCAATATATATGGAAAGATAGATTAGTATCTTTGTGTATGGAGTTCTTATATAAATCATTAAGAGAAAGAAGATTTCCTCTTCCCAATATAAAAATTAGTGAGGAACATGCAGGCATTACCATAAATATGAAAAAGTGATCAACCTGATTATTAAGCAAAGAAGTTAAAATTACAACTATAATGTAAAACGATTTTCACCTGTCAAACTGGTAAGGCTTAAGAAACTTTGGTGAGATGTAAAGAAATGGACACTCTCATGTGCTGCTGGTAGAACTCAAAATTAAATGCACCCTTTCTGAAGCAGTCGTTGGCAATAAGTTTCACAGGCCTGAAGTGTGTACCCATTGATCATTTGACTGGAGGAGATAGACAATCAAACAGGTAATTACAGTACAGTTTAAAAGTGTTGTTTATAATAGAGGCATGAGCAAGTGTTATGGAGGAACAAAAGAAAGCATGAAAGAATTCTGCCTGAAGGCCTCAAGAAACCTCTCAAAAATGTAATCAGTAACTTCCACGCAAAAAAATAAGGGAAAAGAAAATTCTTGGCAAAATGTTTTGTGCAGAGGTACTAAGTTGTCAGAATTACTTATGTGTTTGCAATGTTGTATTGGGTTAGAGTGGGAAGAAGGTAATGGCAGGGAGTGGCAGAAGATGATGCTGGAGAGAAAGCTTTTAGCCAGATTGAAAAGGACCATGTATGCTATGCTATAGGAGTTTTGATTTTGTTCTACAAATAGAAGTCTTCGACAGGAGATTGGTATGTTTAGACTTAATGAGATCCTGAACTAAAGTACCTAGAGTGAAAATAAAGAGAGGAAACCAAGTTAAAGGAAGATTTCTTAAGTTGAAATGATAAGAATTAGATGAATGACTGGAAAGGGATGAGGGAAGAGGTTTCAAGGGAAGTCTCCTCATGCATTACACTAATAGCATAGTGATTAGACTTAAAATTTGAAGATTGTGACACAGGCACACACTTTGCATACACTTCAAAGGTATTGGAAGGATATGAAATGCACATTTTTCATAAAGTCTGCTAAAATTGGGGCTTTGATATTTGGGAAGGCCTACTGATCTCAATTGCCCACGCAGTTGAGTTGAAACCATAGCTAAAAGTTACTTTATATGTAAGCCTAGAAAAATGAGTGTATACTAGGCTGTGATATGTGTTAAGTGAATAGTTATATCTAAGTGTGTGTGTTTTCTCAAATATTGTTCTGTATTCAGCACATTTTGAAATAGAGTAATTTGAGTTGGTTTGTTTACTTTGAAATTAGGGTAATCATCCATCAACCTACTCTGTCAATGATTCTCAAAGTCAACTAGCTGTGTCAGAATTTATCTTGGGTTTTTTATTTAAAAATGTAAATATTTGCCCCTGCCCCCGCCCCTTCAGTCCGATGATAATCAGAATCTCTTGGGATGTAGCCTGGGAATATGCATTTGAGTAGCGTTAGGTAAATCATTTACACTAAAGTTGAAGAACCACTGACAGTGATCACAGATGAGACTTTGGGGACCAGATGAGTTCCTTGGCACAAGTTTATTCATGAATGTCACAGTTACAAACAATGAAAAAATTACTCCTATTTTTTAAAATAAAGTTGATTGCAGTATTAGGTGATTAGATTAGATTAGAAAGAAAAGACCACATATACCCCTGCTCAAAGTCCAATTTATTTAGCCAAGATAAGTTGCTAATGCTGCTTATATACTTGTGGTTTTTCCCTTGTCCATAGTTTTTCATGGAGAGCATAACTGTTGGTGACCCATTGAGCAAGTAGGATCCTGCTGGGATTGAGAAAGCTGCATTCTTAATATTACACCCCTTTTATAGTAGGGCTTATGGTACTTTCTGGAAAAATCTAGGCACTTTTATGAAGAGAGTGTTGACAGATGTTGAGCTTTCACAGTTCTCAGATCAAACTGGGCATCAGGATGGTTATATCTTCATCTGGGCTTGGTGGGGAGAAGATTGTGTCATATCCTTATATCTTATATCTCTGTCTTCAGTTCTCTGGTATTCTGGAAAGCGTACCTGGCTACCATGATTATATGCATTTATACATAAAGAGAAAGATTTCTCTGTGATTCCATCTTAATTTTAATCATGTTATAGATGAAGGGAAAGTTAAAATGCTTACAGAACATTCAAAGTATGATTTCTAGATCATAACATATTGAACTGCCGTTTCTAAAGAGTGTTAGAGTATAAATTTGCAAACCTCCTATTGCAGATTGCTTGATTTGGCATTTAAAGACTGGGATTGGTCATTTGATGATATTGATGGTGATGATGATGGCGATGTTTTTGATTTCTGAAGAAATAAATGGGGTAATCAAAAAATGAAAAATGAGTTATTTTAGTACTTCCAAGTAGCGCATGTGGTTTGCACTTGGGTTTTCATTATTTTTGACAAGTTTTGAAATTGTATAAGTTGTTTTTAATAGTATATATTTGAAAAGTAGTTTTCAGAAAAGTTTCTAACTGAAATTTCCATGTTAAGTATAAAAGTTAAATGCTATGTTCAGATTCTTTATTGGCTATATATTTTCAATACAGTTGGAATTATAATTTTTTATCTTAGGATTGAAACATGTAGAAATAACAAAAGGAGCTAATTCTGGTAGTCTCTGTTCATTCCAAAGAAGCCATATTCAGAGAAGTAAAATTTACAATGTTTTCAAGTTCCTACAACTGTATTAGTTTGTGAACATAGCATGGGATTCCTTTCTCCCTCCATCCTTCTCTCCCTCTTTCCCTCCTCTTTCCTTCTTTCTAACTTGTAAGAATTGAAACTATAAAAACTTTGTAAGTCTAATGAGTGCTGTGAAATAGCTCTTTCTGATTTGGCTTTCTTTGTGATGCTGTGAAATGTTTGCTTTTTGAAAATTTAATGTTACTCTTGCTGAAGAATGCTAATGATGTGAAAGTTCCTGTGCTTTTAGAAAATGTGAAGTAGTTCAGTTAACAGTGGCTAACGGACATTTAAATGTAAATTGAACCTCATGAGTTAAACCTTTTACATGGAATGGATTTAAAAGTAGTAATGTCTATCTTAACCTAAGTAATAAGCATGTTGCAAAACATACTTAAATCATGTAATTTGTGGATCTGTGTATAACCAGGATTTACAGAGTATTTTTTATGTATATGTACTACAACAGTGTGTTTGTTCCCATTTCATAGATTTTAAAAAATGCGGCTAAGGGTCAAACAATCAAGTCGAACCTGGTCCATTAGTCCACTGTTCTTTCAGCTTCATGAGGCAGCTGGCAGTTAAACCCCGAGTCAGACTTAACATTCACATGAGTTATTCAGTGACATATTGTCTAACCCTAATAGCCAGTTAAGTATATTAAAACTTGTGTGTCATGTTTGTAGCCAATATGGGAAAATATGAGAAAGATGATAATTGCATGTACCTAAAATTAAGAAAAGTAATACAGTAAATATGTTTTATGCATGATTTAGGTGTTAAAAGTATAGTAGTTGGAAGACTATATAGTTTAATGATGTAAATGGAATGCCTTTTCAAAGAATTTAACAATCTCTTAAATTATTTCACTGTATCAACTTAACTTTATTTTTCCTTTCTTTCCAGCTAACTGCCTTCTATGAATGCAGTCATTATTCAAGGTGATCATATTCTTCCAGTTAAAACAAGACTGAAATATGATGGCCCAAAATTTATTAAAAAGCTATATTTTCCTGAGAGACTGATACACACACACACACACACACACACACACACACACACACGTTCCCTTTACTCCTGCAATATAAATTATAAATCTTGGAGAGATTTTCTGGGCTCCTTTGGAACAGCAAGTTGAACCAATAGTGATTGGTTAATAGAGTAAGAATATCATATGCAACTCCTCCAAACTCGTTCCATAAAGCTCTCTTGGCAGTCACTCACACTACATTGCACAAAAGGATTGAGAAGAGTTAAAGTTTAAAGAAATCATCTTTTCAGCTTCAACGGAGAGATTTCACCAGCACATTTACCAGAAGAATCTGGGAATGGATTCCACTACAGTGATATAGACTGCATCTTTAAGAAGTGACCATTATACTGTGTGTGTCTGTATATATATATACAGACACACACACATATATATAGTACTGTAATACTGCAAGAGGGTTTTTTTAAACTTCCCACTTTATTTTTTTACACACATTAATCAGATATCATTACTTACTGCAGTTGCGACTATGCACTTGTATAAAGCCATAATGTTGGAGTTTCTGTCATTCGTGTACCTGATGGAAGCTGCATGTTCGTGTTTAGGCAGTTACTGTAACAATAAGTTTGAAGTTAATTATATCAGTTTCCTAATGCTTCATGATAGGTAACTTTACCCATTTTGAACGCCTTAATTTAATTTTTTTCAAAGTTTCAACCCTTTTCTGTATTTTAAAAAAAGAACAAGTGTTTACCAGCTCTTAGAATGCAAATTTGCTTTGCAGAAGAAAATTAGTGCACTATTTTTACACATAATAGTTATCAGTGTCAGCCTATTTTGATTGTATAACAGAATTTTTTTTAAGTATTGGTGATAGAAACAATAATGGATAGTATTGGAACTAATATATCGTTTATGTATATCTATTATTCATCCAGCCCTTTTTACAGACCTCAGTATTAGTGTGTGACTACAAAACGTTTCTTTGCTTTGAATTTGCTGGCTACCCTAGATGTGTTTTTATTTCTGGAAAAGACATTTGTGACTATTTTTACATTTTCACACTCAAGATTCAAAAATTATCTCAAATATAAAGAAAACTAAGACATACTGTAGATCTATTTTAAATATTTAAATGTGAGCCCTTAAACACACAACTGTGTATGGCAATATTTCAGTATTGGGTTAAGAAAACTGGTGACTGGGAAGAAGTGGCCTCAAAGGCACTTACCTTGATTTTTATTTTTTAAATGCTGGTAAGTTACAGTTTATGCAGGACCGTTCCTGCTGTATTTCTCATTATCCCAGAAAAATGTATATTTTATACTGCTTCAGTATGCATCAATGATAAGCATCAAGTAAAAAAAAATTATGTAGTCTTTTATCAGTCTCTCTTCATATACATGCACAGAGTTTGGTATGATATTGAAATACATTATTAATATTTCAATGAAGGAAGTAGACCTTTTTCATTGATTCCTTCTGGGATCAGTGGAGAGATATTTAAAGAGTTAGGTCCCCAGTTATAGATACTATTGTGGAAATTGAAGAGTGGCCATGGCCTACTGATGTACTGAACGTGAATCTTGTTGTTCTTACATTATCCAGTCTGCACTCTTTCATGCTGTCTGTGCTAAAACTAGATATGCATGCCATTTCCCTTGCAGGTGTGTTCTGCAGTTCTGGTTTTGGGGCACAGCTGTTTTTTTTTTTTTAAGATTAAAAAATGAAAATATATAAAATTTATATAGAATAAATATTTCCATTCATTAGACTTGTTCAAAGGAGACTGAATTAATATTTTATATAAAGATTTTGTTACACTATGGGAGGTTCTATCATATTATCTGAATTGGAGAGTATATATATATATTTTTAATAAACTTTATTAAGGTGAAATAATTGAAGTTTACACATGAGTAATTGAAATATTTGAGTAAAAATGGCAAAAGTTTAAATTTTGAATGCTGTATATATTAGGGAAAATGGAGAATCATGGTGTGATACAACTATACAAGGAAAATTAATGTGAAGTTTTTTTGGGGAAAAAAGATATTCTAAGGGGTGAAAAAAATCTCTCCCATGGAGATTCTTCACATTATATAGTTTGACCTAAGGGTTTATAAGGTTGTTGGTCCAACTAGTGGAAATGCGCTTAATAAAAAATTCTAACCTTGGGTAAGAATTTGCTTTTTACCCTGTTGCTCGTTTCATGTACATACATGAGTGCATGCACCTATCCAAATGTTCTCTTCCCAACCCTCATTAAATATGAAATGGACTTGGCTTAACAACCTGATTTTGTGCCAGCTTCTCTTTTTCTTGAGGCTCCAAAGCTTCCAAGATAAATATAAAACCAAAAATTTCTTCACACCTGATTTCTCCTAGAGCCATAAATACCTCCTATTAAGAACTAAGAAGTAGTGAGTACTGGGATTTTCTTAGTTGGATTTTTTTACTTTTGTTTTGTGGGGATAGCGAGACAGAAGTAGAAGGAAAACTTGCCGGTTTTACTGTTAACACTTAATGTATAGTGAATTTTTGAAAAGTATTAATTAAAAAACATGCTATCTAGAAGCAAGATTAAAAAAAAAATCTATCTGAAAGTTTAAAATGCTCTAGCTAACTAAGGGATAAGTATACCAATAAATCTAAAATAAAGGTTTGGGTTTTTAAAACTAACCTGTGCTCGAGTTATACAAACCTGGCTCTGAAGGATCTCCTTTTATCAGCTTATCTTTAGATCCTCAAGAAGAAATACTCTAGCTTGCCAAACCACAATTTAAGAAGTTATGCTGCTGTTGTTAATCTAGGATTCTGGTGGTAAAACAGAGAAACTTAGACACTATATTACTTTATTGAAACGTGCTTTAAATAAGGTTTAAAATCCGATGAGAGCAAGTTACTTCTGAGTTTCTCAGTCTGTGTTGACACTGCTACTGACTCACCTTTCCTCCCTAGAATAAGGCTTCATTTTCCCTGTGTTGTGAAGATACCATAGTTGATTTGTAAAGCACTTTGAAGATAAGCACTGTATGACAGTGCTGAATATTATGCTTGGGGGGCCTCTCCTTGATTCCTTTCCCCATAATAATGAATTTTGTTTGGAATTGTAATAAATTATGAAATGCATGGTTTAGATAATCATAAATATTTGATCAGCTGTCCCCTTTGAACAAAATCGTATCCCTGATTTTTCTTTTTTTAATTTTGTTGCATCTTTGTAGTAATGTAATTGTATTTTATGCCTGCTTTTTATATTAAAAATTAAATAAAAGAAATTGACATAAGTATTTTTTTTTTTTTTTAAAGATTTTATTTATTCAGTTTTTTCCCCCCAAAGCCCCAGTAGATAGTTGTATGTCATAGATTCACATCCTTCTAGTTGCTGTACGTGGGACTCGGCCTCGCGTTGGACGGAGAAGTGGTGCCTCGGGGTGCTTCCGGGATCCGAACCCAGGTCGCCAGCATCAGAGCGCGCACACTTAACCGCTAAGCCACAGAGCCGGCCCAACATAAGTATTTTTATACTTTTCCTGTGAAATAGTCCTGGAATGCTGCAACCTTTTAAAATTTACCCCAAAAATTTGCCTTCCCTAAAAGATGGGTATAGCAAACAAGTCATAACTAAGATTATAGGCTTGTGAATCTTCAGCCCTATCATTTAGTCCATGGAGAAATAGAAAACAGAATTTCAACCAGGAGTCTGTCTTTGATTTGGTTTAGGTATTTTAAGGGGCAAGCAAACCTAATAATTTCATTTGAGTGTCAAGGATAAGGAAAAGAGGCAGGGTGCCTGTTTTGTCAGGAATAGTGTGCTGACAGGTAGTTTTCTAGAAAGCATTTCTTTGGTAATTAGTGGGTTCTTTTCTAGGACACTTATTGGCTATCTGATCTGGGAGAGGTTATTCACTCTGAGCTTCAATGTTTTCATCTGTAAAATGGAGATTGTTTACTTACAGGATTGTTGTGGGATTAAATATGATAATGTACCAGGATGTCTGGAGTAGCGCAAGTGTTTGTTCCCTTCCCTCCCAAAGGGGAAAGATGGAGAACTCTTCACCTAAGCATATTCTTAAAGGATTTGTTTAAAGCAGTGATAAAGTACCAATTAAAGAAGTATATTTAAATAAAATATTCATTGGACTAAAAATCACATAATTTGTATTTATACTAATGGTCAGATTGCAGTCACGTGTTGTATAAGGACGTTTAGGTCAATGACGGACTGCATATATGAACGTGGTCCCATAAGATTAGTACCGTATAGCCTAGGTGTGTACTAGGCTATACCATTTAGGTTTGTGTACGGACACTCTCTGATGTTCACACAATGATACAATCGCCTAATGACACATTTCTCAGAACATACCCCGTCATTATGCCACACGTGACTGTATAACTGCATATGAGAAAAGAGTCACTTTGATTTTTTTTTAAAATGACAACTATGACTTTAAAAGCTACAGAATGAATGACTTTTATTTACTTTTAAATATCATGTTTCTCTTCCTGCTGTTCTCAAGCAGTAGTTATAAAAGGATTAACCACAGCTTATTTTAAAAACTGCACTTACATAACTTAAAACTGATCACATTGAAACAACTGACAGTTTTAAGACTCAGCAGAGTTCAAAATATGAAAGTTTATTTTACATAGGAAACTAAAACATTTTCTAATAAACATCATTTACTTCCTGCATGTAACAGAATAATGGCATTCAATTATAAGGGGAAAGAGAGTTTTTAAATGTTAGGGTTTATAAACTTTTACAGGAAAATACAGTGTACAATAATCTTAACATCATGTTTAGAATATGATACTACAATGAGAATAAAATCCCTAAGAACTTGGCAGAACCATCAATATGTTTTCCACAGACCAAACCCAGTCGAGGTCAGCTGTATTTTGTCCCAAATTCCAATAATAGTATAGGTGTGGCCCGTTTAAAAATGGCAGCACTATGCTTGAATCAGAAAGTTCACTGGATTGCCTCATCCTAAGTAGAGACTGCAGCTAATAGCACCTTTTGTTAGGAATTACTTAAAGGCACAGTATGAGGCTAAAGGACTACTTTGGTATATGAAGTCAAGCCAATTACATTTTTGCTTGCCTTGATATCCTTGCTGTATATAGCCTAAGGAGGTATTATACTGTACTATGACACAGTAAGGCCATCCTGCTATATCTGTTACAATTAAACATTAGTCCCACAAAGTCCACCCTAGTAATTTATTACAATTATATTTCTGACTGAGCAAAATCCCACTCTATTCATGTTCATTTGTGCTGTGGAGAGGATTTATTTCTTAAAAGATTCTGAAAGTTGAAAAATAGATGTGGTTAGCTCTTGAGAGAGAACTTATCATGACTTGAAGAGTAAGGGTCAAAGTGGTCTCCTCAAAATGGGCTTCTTGGATGGTGTCCATCAGTCACCAGCCTTCTCAAAACTACAGCTGTCTGAGCCCTACCTTAACCTGATACAGTGGGGGAAGGAGGGAAAGTGACATTTCTGACCAAGTGTTTATGTGGTTCTTTCAAGTCTAAAACACCTTTGGCTTCCAGGTTTCTGAAACAATTGACTAAACTTATAAAGGACCTTGATTTAGCAACGAGCATTTTTCCCTTTGGTTCAGTTAATTCAAAATCCACTTTGTGTGTAGGAATAACGGATCCATCATTCAGCCTTTACAGCGGTCTTCCGGTAGTGAAGTACTGTAGCTGTTACCCATATATTTAAAGCCAGCATGATCACAAAACGTGTAAGAACTGAAATCAGTCAAGAAGTAAGGAAAAATATGTATTAAAAAATACTGTTTTCACATTACAGAACAAAATCACCTCCTGCTCTAAGTAGAAGCCTAAATATTCACCTCCAAAAATGAAACTTAGAACTATGGATCATGAGAACTTTTGAACAACTTTGATTCCAAATATTCCTGGGAAAATGATCTTCCTATCATGACTTCCTTTGGCCACTTGGCCTGACTTCATGAATAGTAATTTATTGTCTTAAATGCTGAATTTGGAGGAATCTGGCTCTGGCTGATAAGAAATATTATAACTTTTTAAAACCCCTTTACTCATTTTTTAAAGTCTTGGGGTGGTAGTGTCTCAGAACATTCCAGGTTAAGCAAAGGTGGTATAGTGTGTTCTCTTAGAATTCTGAGAAACTGACCCAAATGTCAAAGCGTATTTTATACTGAGGTAACCATGGAATTGCTCTTTGTTAAAAAAAAGAAAAAAGTAACTTTACCAGTGATTTGACAAACATTCTCTGGATAAATAAAGTTTATGAGATTTAATGTATCTTTGTGGTTATAAAACACTTGTAAGATTATTAGCTAAACTGGTTTTAAAAGGTTATCCCCAGATATTAATCACTTTTAGGAAAGGCTGTCACCTTAGATACAAAACAAATCACAATTAGAACATTCTCAATCTTTTAAGCTTACTTTTTAAAATGTAGGTTTGTTTTGTTGTTTAATTATGGTTCGACTATTCTTTCCCTGAAGAGAATTCAAGTCCTATGGAGAAGACTCAAGCCTGTCTCCTTTCCCTTTCCCTTTCCCCACCTGACCCAAGATTATGCTTTGACCAGAACACTTTTAATCCATCTCTCAGCTGACAGAAAGTATCTAAGTCAAAGACACAACCTCTAGGAAGGGACTAACAAATGCCTCCCACTGTTCCTAAGCAATATTTCTCAAATAATAATTAGCTTATTTAAAGGGTCTATGTACCAGGAATATATTTGTAGTCTTCCTAGAATAGGTGACACTATCTGTTTTAATCATTTTCCATAAATTTATATGCTCAATTTGAGAGTTGAAAACTCAGCCTAAGGAATGACTAAATTCTCTTTAGGTTAACCCAAATATTTTCTCCTCCATCACAGTATCTCTTAAAGAAACAGAACAAGGACATGGAGTCAAATGATTATGTCCTTCCGCTCCTTTAAAAAGCCTTCCTGCTGCTTATGGGCAATTCTCTGAGGCTCTGGGCCATTTGGCCACTGCCATCTCCCCTCCTCCTCTCATTACTCACTCCCCATGCTCTCCTTCCAGCCCTGCTGGTCCTCCCTCTCTGGTGGAGCCAGGCATCCTCTTTGCTCATGACCTTCACACGTGCTGCTCCTTGCAACAGTCTCTTCCTCTCCTCCAGATCTCACTCATCTTCAAATTAATCTTCCCAGCTCCCTCAGGTTCCCGTTAGGTGCTCATCCTCATACTCTTTCAAAACACATTTCACAATGTTTTTCAATAGTTAATTGGTGATTACTTCACTGTCCATTTCCACTGCTGAAGTGGAAGCTCCACGAAGATAGGAATCTACTATCTTGTGCAGATTCTATCCCAGGTACTACAAGAAGTAGATGCTTAATACTATAAATGGTGACTGACAAAGACCAGGAAGAGACTGTCGCTGGCCTCTGAATTTATAATCCAATGGAGCCAGATTTATCTGTGAAACCCGAAGACAATTTACAAACAAAGGAGGTGCAAATGGCACAAAACTCAAAAGGAAGTGGGCAGAAAAATGTTTTGCTTACTTGTAAGATCGTTGGTGGTCATTAGAGTTGTTATTATTCTTGCTGGAAAAGAAAATTTTCAGCAATAAATCACTTGCTTCTCAGACATTTTGTATTCAGCTAATGTCTTTCCGTTTTAAATACAGGAACATATGCTAACTGTTCTTGAAAGATTTTGGTAGTACAGAATACTAAATAGAACTATATTTCATAAAACATCTAAAATCCAGCCATGCATCCTAGCCCAGTGGTTTTGAAGCTCCTCATAAGAGCAACAGTTCAGAGAAGGTAATTCAGTGCTGCCCAGGGAAGCGGGGGGGGGGGGGGGGGGGGTGCTGAGGGCCCCATCCCCTCTGTGTGCTAACCCACACCTCCCCACCTGAAAGCAACTTGTGAAAATGTCATTTACATATTGAGCTTCTGGTAACATTTCATTTAAAGAAAGCCTCCCACTAACTAAAAAACAATGTTTTTAAGTCACTAAACTCTACCCCCTTATCCTACAGCTATTTTATAGACAAAGGAAACGGGCCCAGAAAAGGGTATGATTTTCTTAAGGGTCTGACTAGAAGTGTTTAGTTTACTGCATTTTTCCGGTAGAGCACTTCACTTAGTAAACACTTAGGAATTTGTGGTAACAGTTCAAACTGACCCGTGCGAGACATGAATTGGGAGTTAGAGAACACCACTGCCTGCAAATCAACGCATGCCCTTCCTTACACAACCCAACGCAACCCACACGAGGCTCTCCCTCATGCCTAACACGTCTGCATTAGGCATATATTGACAGAGCAGCTTTTGGTCTTGTCTTCTAACTAAACCAAGCTCTGAAAGGCACAGACCAAATCTTATCAAATGTTTTGTTGCCAATTTTGATAACCCAAGGATTTACACACAGATGCTATGTGAATAGCTGTTGATTAAATCAGCAATTTAAATGGAAGAGATGGGTCTTAAGTAGATGGAAGGAAGATTCCATCCAGTTAGGAAGATGGCCAACTAAGAGGATTCTTAGGCAATACAGGAATACAGTAAGTATTCTTTTAATACTTACTTTAAAGAATCGTAATAAATGCTACCTGGTAGTACCCGGCTCCAGGTGAACCGGACAATAGTAACCAAAGGAAATTAGGGTCAGTGCTAAAATGCACATTCCACTCATTCCTAAATCGATGTTGAAGTTGTTAGCCTCATCTATCAAAAAGGGAAGCTGGGTTTAAAACCAGTTCATTTTTCCCATAAAATTATAGTCCTCAGTTCATTTATCATCTAGTCAACAAATATTTAACTACTTGTTAAGCACAGAGTGCCATGCAAAATAGATAGAGATGTAATACATGGTCTGTGCAGTTACAAATTCCCAAGATTTCCTGAAAGGAGAAATTCAATAAGCAACACTTTAAAGATGAAAACATTGAAGATAAAATTATGGAGCTGATAAGTAATATATCTAATTAGCAATTTTAGAAATCATATATATATATATGATTATAACACACCAACATTTGAAATGTTTATTTTTAGCTGTAAAAGCTAAAAATAAAACTCAAGAAGTCTTAAGTTTAAATAACTTTGGACAGAAAGACCTCTACCAGCAACCCTGGATGGAGAAATTGGTCCTTTAAGATACAGAAGAAAATGAAGTATCATTCAAATATCTAAAACCAGTAAATCTAATATAATAGCTCTGAATTTTTAAAATATTCCTACCTAAATATAGCATATACGTATTTTAGGTAGTTCCTGCAAGAATCCTAATGAACAGTGGAAATTCTCAAGTTGAGACCAAATAATATGGCTCCAGAAAAACTCCACTGCTGCAAATTATATTCATTCTCAAAAGCCAATGTATAATTTTCATTTCTTTAATCTGCTACATCATAAAGATTCAAATTTTTAAAACAAGTTAGTGGATTCAACATAACCTCTTAATGCTTTTCAAAGAACGAGATAAGACTGTTAATATTAGGACAAATTTTTGGAGAAAAGTGTGCTTTCTCCAAAGCACACTCTTTAGCAACTGGAATATGGATCTTGCACAAAATGGAGACTAGTCTGCATTAAATCAGCCTTGTAAATATGGCTGCACCGGGAGGTTCCATCCAAATAGCTATCTGCAAAGGTTTAAAGCTCAAGGGACTATGACCCTTGGACAGCAAGGGAGCGCACTCTTCTGGGCACACCCCTGATGCTGACCAAGGACACCCCCCCATTAGAGCCTTGTTCTTACTCGCACAGGTGTATGAAGCGAGGCTGCAAGTCAGAGCACTCACAACTCCCGAGTCCCTGGTCTTCCACAGGTCCTGGAGCTGAGCAAACTTACTGGCCGCACTGATGAAAGTACATAAATTCTGTTTGCAGATAAAACATGGGAAAGTTAGGAATCCCTTAGTTAACAAAACAAAAGAGCACCAGATACTGAAAGCACTTTTGAAGCCAAACTTTCAGGTCAAGTAATAACCAATTTGTACAAGTCAAAACCCAAGTTTAGTGAAAAAGATTGCAACAGTGAGACATTTCTTTATAACCCACCAATTCCACTGTTCAGTGAGTAACTAATGGGCTGCAGCTAGTTTGAAGTTGGGAGTGAGAAAGAATCACGGCATGACCACCAAGGCATATCTGTCCCCAGCTGCCAATAAAACAGGGAGAGGGGGAGGGGGAGGGAGAGGTTGAGGGGAGGGGGAGAGGGAGAGGGAGAGATTATTGCGTTTCAGAGCCAGGGGAAAACACGCTGCTTGGAACTGACAGACTCAGAAAGCAGCACGCTGAGGGGCATCGGCTCTGCACTTCCAGCTGTTCTAATGAGTCCACGTGGTGATGCACTCAGGTCCTCTGCTCCCTTCGAGGTAAGAGACCATCACAAGTTAGCTTGCTGCTCTGCACAGCGCCCTCCACCCTGAGCAGAGCCCAGCCCTGCCGTTGACCAGTCTCTCCTTCAGCGGAAACACCCACTTCAGCTGCCAGGCTGAGGAGAGACCAAAGGGAGGCAAAGTGGAAGCCAGGAGACCAGTTCGCAGGCTACCACCACATCCAGGTTTCTTCCAGAGAGGTGGAAACAGAAGAGGTGGAAACAGAAGAGGTGAGAAGTGATCAGATTCGGGATCTATTCTGAAGGTAACGCGGGCAGGATTTGCTGAGGAACTGGCTGTGGGATGTGAGAACCAGAGAAGTCAAAGGTGATCCAAGCTCCACTGTTTCTGACCTTCACGAGTGGGAGAATGGAGTAGTTGTGGTCACTTGAGACAGAGAAAGCTGCAGGAGCAGGACTACTGGAAGAGAGGGCAGGGCAGGAGAGCAGAAGCTCAGGGTTGGCCATGTGAGTCATGCAGGGGTAGCTGGGAGTGTGCTGGAGGCTGGGCCTCTCGTTGAAGAAGTCAGGCAGAGACACTAGGAAGGATCAGGTGGAAGGGACAGCAGGGGCGAGGTGTCCTGGAGCCAAGTGAGCAAAGTGACCCAAGCAGGAATCCTGATCATGGCATCGAATGCTCCAGAGATGCTAAGACGAGGAAGGAGGATGGAGCTGGCTTCAGCAGGATGAATGTGGCTGGTGTCCTGGAGAGGAGCAGCTCGTTTACCTTTTGTCTTCCCAAAAGGAAAGCTCCACAAGGGGAGTGCTTGTTCTATTTTCTGCTTGGTCCCCAGTACCTGGAACCGTGCTGGCACGTGGCTGTCACTCAATAAATCCTTAACAACAATGCAGTTTGGCAAACGTAATGACAAAGGGGAACATGGGATGACACGGAAGGAGTGAAGGGGTAACTTGGATAAGGAAGATTTATGGAGAATGTAATGGTAGGGAGTGCTCCTAGACAGAGAATGTGAGCAAGGGCCATGGTCAGATCCAAAGACAGGTCACACTGGAGCTGGGTGCAGATGGCTTGGAGGACTGACCCCAAGCGGAGGGACCTGTGAGGAAAAAGGCTCTTGTGCCATCCTGGCATGCTAGGAGGAGCAGGGAATGGAGAGGAAGACAGCACCTGAGACCCAGCCAGGACACAGGGTCAGCACGGGCTGGTGAGGAGTGGGGTCAGGGCCGAGGGAGCAGAGGGTCAGGAAGTCTGCACACGCGGATTTAAGCAGGGCCCGTTCACACCTGTCAGGGGCAAGGACCACGTTCCGGCAGACTAGTGCCAAACAGATGCTCTACAGTGCCTACAGATTCGTCTTCCAGGAGACAATGCCATCTTTAGAACCATGAAGTGGTTCTTGTTTGGCACATAACCAAGGCCTAGACAATCTTATACATAGTTATCTGTAGATTATTAGGTGTTTTGTGACACAGAGTCTAACACGGAACAGCACTGGAAAGGAGAATGGGTACTTAGACTGTTATGGAGATCATTTTTAAGTGCTTTACTCCTATCTTCTTGTGAATTAACTAAGAGTATGTGAATTATCAATTTATCTAACCTTCTGTGGAAACAATTTATTGGTCTGAATTGGTAGTCGCTTTTGAAAGCGCCAGAACTGTAGACCTTCCATGACTTGGGTTTTTCACAAATTCAAATAGCTCTCCTCCCCCCCGGGACCTAGGGTTTCTGCCCTGTGTGAGCTCTGGAGCCTGAGCTCTTTCTCTTCCCCGCAGCTCCATTACCCTCAAGCCAGCCGCCTTGTCCCGCGGCCCCAGTGCCTGCCCGGGAAGCACTTGTGGACGGCAACAGCACAGAGCCTGGCATGCAGCTCGTGCTCGATAAGGGGAAAAGGAAACTCTATTTTATGAACGATTAGAGCAGCAGTGTGTGGTTAGAACAGAGCATTCACTGAGAAGTGTGCAGAAGAAACAAAACACTGCAGCCTTTGGCCATGGGGCCCCATTCCTGATGAGCCTATACCACCGTATCCCTGGAGTGATGTTCTTGGGGGTGAAGGCTCACCGCTGCTGTATGACGGCCTAGTCACCCCCGAACAACCAGATGGCACCAACCTGACCAGCAGTAGCAGCTACTGAGATCCTGGCGATGACTTATTTGCAGGGTTGCCAGATTTAGCATATAAAAATACAGAACACTCAGTTAAATTGGAATTTCAGATCAACAATAAATAAATTTTTAGTATAAGTATGTCCCAAGCACTATTTGGGACATACCTACACTAAATAATTATTTGTTGTTACTACAGCAACCCTAGTTATTTGCTCTCCATATGCCACAAGGTTGAAACATAACACAGAGAGTCAAGTCCACTTTCCAGGAAAGGGTCTCAGACAAGACACTGGGGGGAGAAGGGGACGACACTCATGAGTTTGGATGTGGCAGGCAGTGACTTGTGACCACCAATTAGTTCTCCTCCCCCTTTCCTGCTTCGGTCACCTTGGAGAGAAGATCTGTGGTCAGAGGCTTCCTGATCTGCTCTCAGAATCCTATTGTCACAGCACGGGAATTTTTGGCCCTTAACCAAAGAAGGAAAAAAGGACTGGGCTTACCCTTTTCCATGGAGGAAAAAAAATGTTTGGGGGTCAAAGTTAGAAAAATACTGAGTGTGTGGCCAATATGTAATTATTAACCTGATAAGAAGCTCTTTAATGTAGGCTCAGTTCTTTGTTCTCCTACTAACTACCACCCCCATCCGGATCTCTATGGCCCCAAAAACAGGAAGTAAAAAAAAATTCTGCCACATATGTAAATGAGAATAAAGTCTTTTAATATTTGGAGAGCACTGCACTTTTATCTTATTATCCTTTGGTACAGCTGAAAAATTAGCAAGTTAAACACTTGATCTATAGAATTCTTTGCAGGGCAGGCGGCATGGAGAGGAGAGAGAGGACGGATTCCTGCTATTGCACACATCTTCTTTACAAAGAGCAATACTTACTATGGCCAGATCTATGATCCACTTCTGCAGGGTGAGGACGAACCACAACGTCACAAATCTTACCAAGGGCTGAGGAAGACAGCAGTGGCTTGGCTGGCATCTCCACCACCCTCCCAGCCCCGTGTCCATGGAAACAAACCAAGGCCACAGAGGTTACACATATAAGCCAAGTGTGGAAGTGGGAACGGCTCTGCTAGAACCTCTCAGATTTGGAAAAGACAAAAATGGTTCAAGTGAACACCTGTTAGGAGCCCAAAAGCACAGAAGCAGATTTATGGCAGAAAATTACAAAGAAACTTGTGTTCAGGGACTATTCCTAGGATTGGAAACTGCCCACTTAACTCCTGACCATGCAGACATCTCCAATGTCATGTCAACAGTGAAGCACATAAGAGAGGTCCAACATTATGACACAGGCATGTTCTATAAAACTGTTGTCATGTGAACCTGTTCACTGGTTTCCTCCTTTCCCACTGACTCACTGCAAAAATGATACCGTGGGGTGAGCAACACAGGAGGAACAATATTTGATTTTCATCCAGCTCAGTGATGTTGCAGGAATAGAGAGCCCAGTGAGAGAAGCTGAAGCTAACACAGGAGAGGTAGTGGCCAGGCCAGTGAGGGGACGGCCAGGAGCCTCTGCTGTGACCTTGGGCAAGGCACTTTCCTTCTCTCCTCCTTGGTTTGCTTATCTGCAAAATGGACTTAACATTCCTTGCCTTATCTACCTCCTCAATGCCTAGTAGCACATCATAGGAACCCACCTTGCTGTGACTATAATTAATAACATTATTTAAATGAAGGGACTGAAATAGACAATGCCCTGTGCTCAAAATCAGTAGAACTAACTACTAGCAACCTGGTCAACACCAGAAAGGCAGCCTGAACGCAGGTGGGTGAAATTTTGTATTTAAAACACTCTCTAATTCAATTTTTTAAACTAATTTTTGTGGTATTTTTTGCCCAATTTTGTACCATTGCACCTCACTCCATTCATTCTAAATATACATTTTATAAAACTTGACCAGTAGTAGCAGCTACTGAGATCCTAGAGATGACTTTTTTGTAAGGTTGCCAGAACTTAGCAAATAAAAATACAGGGCTCTCAGTTAAATCTGAATTTCAGATCAACAACAAATAATTTGTTAGTGTAAGGATGTCCCATGCAATATTTGGGACATACTTAGGCTAAAAAAAATTCATTGTTAATATGGCAACCCAACTTATTTGCTCTCCATACGTCACAACTGACAGGAGAAGGTTGTAAACGTCTTGCAGATTCTACAGAGTCACCATCAGCACCCAAACAGTTATGTGAATAATTCACCAGGGTGTGAGCACTCGAATTTTCTAACCTACAGCCTCACCATTTGCACAAAGTTGTTGCATTTTATTTAAAAAGTAAATCACACAATGCTCTTCCTCTTCAAAGTACTCTGTTTTCAAAAACCTTTAACCAGCTGGGGCTACCCTGCAGTGGGGAGGGGCAGCAGAGCTGTGCAATCCCCCTTTTGCAGAGGGAAACGGAGTCAGGGGGCTTACAACTCGGTCCAGCGGCAGAGGGTCAGGACCCAGTCCGCCCCCAGCTCCCTCTGCAGACAGGCTTCTAGTAAAACAGCCACGATGACTCTGCCCCTTCCCCAGCCTGGCCTGTGCTCCTGGTACTTGAGTTCTCAAAACAACCCGAAAAGGCAGACATTATTATCCCCTTCCAAAGACAGGGCAACTGCTGCGTAGGGAGCTTGTGGCATGTGCCCAAGGCCACCCCAGTGGTGAGGGCACCAGGTGTTTCCCACCACTCCACGCCTACATCCTTGCCATGCTCCAGCAGACAGGGCCTCTCCCCTGAAGACGGGGCAAAGACGGGGCCTCCACCCCGAAACGTATAAACAAACAGCTCAGACCTTTTCACAGATGTGGCAGGCTTAACTGCCCTTCGCAAGGCTTTCCTGGCCTTTTAAGGAGTGTGAAGTTCAAGAGGATAACGGTTTTTACAAAGAGACTTGAAAGCCTGGCCCTCGCTGATGAAAGATGCATGTGAGGGGGGGCACGTCTGTGTGGTGACCAGGCCCCCACTGAGACCCTCCTAGTGTCTTGACTGTGGGCGTGATTCTCACTTTGAACAAGCCATCATGAGCCCACATCTGCCATGAACAGGCAGTACGCCAGTACGGGAGCCAGATGACCAGAGGTGTTAGCGGCATTGTGTTAAATGCCAGACATTCTCTTTATTATGACTTCAAATACTTTGGGGACATTTTTGGGGAAGGAAGAAGGGTCTCCCTTCCCCTAAAGAATAAAGCTGGACAATGTTGCTCTTAGCAGGGTGCTTCTATAACTCCACATGCTCAACAGTGGGGTACTAGGTCACATCCCACCTGGCCTGTAGGTGCACCTCGGGGTGCCCTGGTCTTGGAGGGGAGGCCACCGGGCAGGGACTGTCCTAGGGCATCTCTGGGCTGTGGAGATACATTCACTCACACGGAGTCTTGCATTTGGGATTCCTTTTTAGTGTAACCAAAAGAACATATATCGGGTAAAGGACCCTGCTTAATAATGCATACTATTAGCAAATACCACCCCCAGTCCCATCTCTTGATTTTCAGACGCTGAAAGGATACAGGGCGACATACGGAGCCGCCCGTTTCACGTTCCCCTTGAAATGGAAGATGCAGAGCAGGAGGATGAGATCTGAAAGGGAAAGGCTCCCAGTGAGAGGGAGGCGGGGCCCAGGGCCACCCATGGGCAGGGAGGGGTGTTACCTTGTGCGATGAGAATGGGGTACTCCAGGTAGGTCAGCAGCGGGTACTCGTAGTAACACTGGTACCGGAGAAACACCAGGAACCTGGGGGGAGGGAAGGCACACCTGAGCTCGGGCTCACCCAACACACAGCAGGGAGGCCCGGCCCGCAACCAAGAGCATGGGGGATTCATTTGCAAAACCCGAGAAATGGTGGCTGGAGCCTGCAAATGTCAAGAAAGGCAATTTAGAACAAAAAGGATGGAATGTTAATTTAATAATCTCCATGATTTTTGGAGCATCGAGTACTGGCTGGGCGCTGGGCACGATATACATGGTCTCTGTCAAGTCCCTTACAAACGATTTTTACAGAGGGAAATCACGGACCAGGACCAGAAGAGACCGGGCTTCTGGACCCAGGTCTGCCTGTCCCCAAAGCTGGGCTCGTGCATGGCCCAGGTGGCCCCCTCAGAAGGTCACACACAAGAAGCTGCAGAGGCCAAGAAAGGCATCCGAGGGGGCCCGAGAGCCATGCCTGGGTGGGGGTCGGAGGCAGGGCTTCTAAGAGGCAGGGTGCGCCCGGGCACAGCGGCCAGCTGGGGAGACCGTGGTGAGAGGAGGAAGGACACCACCTGGATGCTCCCGGTGGCCTTGGAGAGTGCTGCCCGGCCAAGGCAAGGGCAGCGGGAGAGAGGCATAAAGAACAATCCTCAGTTCCTTTAAGAAAATTCTAGCTCTGGAGAGGCTGGGGATGGGGGGCGGGGAGTAAAGACCCCAGAACCCCACCCTTCTCAGGAGAAAAGGCCTGAGCTTCCTGCCTTCCCAGCTCACACCCTAGCCAGTCAGCTCCCTCAGAACCTAAATGCCCCGCTGTGCCTTCCGAGTCTGTCTCTGTCACATCGCCCAGGCTGTGAGGTTCCCCCGTGCCTGCGTGTTTGGCCACAGGGACTTGGATCTCAATCCACACTGGGGTGCCCCCACCCCCACCCCTTCCCCAGGGTAAGCCGGAGCGGCCACTTTCATCTGGACTTACCGGCACTCATTCCTCAGCTAGGAAGGGGGGTTACGAAGTGGACAGCGGGCTGGGGGGCCTGCGCCCCATCCTGTTTCTCGGCTGCACAGTTTCTGTACAGTTCTTGGCTGAGCCGGGGTGGAGGGGAGAGGGTCACAGGGCGGGAGGTGAGGCCAGTGTCACCCTGAGCACGTGGCGCTCCCCAGCCCTGACCAGCAGCTCTTCCCAGGGACCCCACAGCCCAGCAGGCTCTCTGGGGGCTCTGTAGTTGGTGGTCTCCCGGCTTCAGGGGACAAGCAGATGCTCCGGCCCCGCCCCTGCCGGCCTCCGGAGCAGCACCTTTCTGGTTACCTGCGAGGGGGAGCCCAGGGGACTGGGGCAGGAATGGTGGCATCCCCTCCTCCTCTGCAGAGCAGGGCAGCCCAGCCCGGCCTGGGCACAGCAGGCTGCAGAGCAGGCTGTGCTGAAGGAATGAGCAGATAGGCTCAGGGGTCTTCACCCCACGCACAATGAATTGAGGGGATACTTCCCATAATACAGCCAGGGACCTTTGGGACAGGCGAGGGCCCTGGAACATCGGAGCTGGGAGCACCGTCAGGGATCATCCACACTGGCCTCCCCACTTTACAGACCACTGGGGAAACTGAGACCCCTTGCCTGGCCTCATGCTATATGAAAGGAAGGAATAAGAATGGGCTTGTCTTTTCATTGTGAAAACTGAAACATAGACACAACGCAGAGGGAATAGCATAATCAACCCATGTCCACGGCCCCAGCTCTCACACAGAACACTTGGCTCCGCACACGCTCGTCAGTCCTCCTTTGCTTTGCTGACGTGCGCACGTGGTTCTCACCCTGCTCACTTCAGGACACACTTCTAAAAGATGGGCGTTTTCTCACCACTTCACACCAACCCAAATTAAAAATCATTCCCTAGTATCTTTAAGATACAGTTCAGGGCCAGCCGGTGGCTTAGCGGTTAAGTGCACGTGCTCCGCTGCTGGCGGCCCGGGTTCGGATCCCGGGCGTGCACCGACGCACTGCTTCTCCGGCCATGCTGAGGCCACGTCCCACCTACAGCAACTAGAAGGATGTGCAACTATGACATACAACTATCTACTGGGGCTTTGGGGAAGGAAAAAAGGAGGAGGATTGGCAATAGATGTTAGCTCAGAGCCAGTCTGCCTCAGCAAAAAGAGGAGGATTAGCACGGATGTTAGCTCAGGGCTGATCTCCCTAAAAAAAAAAAAAAAAAAAAAAGATACAGTTCATGCTCCAACGGACCCAATTCTCTCAAAAATGGGTTTTTAGAGTTTGTTTGCTTAGATCAGGATCCAAAGAGGGTCCATGTCCTCCATGTGGTTGTTCTGGCTCTTACTTCCCAGGAGATGAAAGGGCCCTCTCACAGCAATGGCCTCGGGGTGCTTTCTGTGGGAATTCTGGCTGCTACCCTGCCTGGCCTCACCTGGCCTCCGTCTGGTGGGGGGCTTGGTGGGTAGACAGGCATGGCCCACCAGGGACAGTCTGGCCTGCACTGCTCCCAGCTCCAAGGCCATCTCCCCACACACCCGGCCACAGCTGGCCCTCACTAGGGAAGGCCAGGGCAGGGAGAGGGGGATGAGGGCAGGGTGCTAGCCAACCTTTCCCCTACCCACAGAATGTAGATGAGACTACAAAGCAGCAAAACCCAGTGAGCGTGGGAGGCCAGAGGGGCAGGCCTCAGAATGGAGAGAGCCAGGATCCTGGTAAGCACCCAGCCCCGCTGCTGCCTGGGCGCTGGCAAGTTCCTTTGCTTCTCTGGCCTTGGGTTCCACTGTCGGGGATAAAACCGATATCTGCCTCCCTAGGCTGTGTGAGGACTGAGTAAAATAATGCTAAAAACACACAGTGTCGACACATGGACCCTGCTCGTAAAACAATACTGCTGATAAAATATGGTGCGAGGTGGAGATAAATCGTGCAGGAATCCAGTGGAGGAAGACCCTGATCACTTCCAGCTGGGCTCGGTGGAGAGCCTGGCCCTGGGCCAGGCCTAGACACAGCCAAGCCCATTTACAGCAGTCTCTGTGCCTAGCCTTGGCCCTCCCACAGAGGCGGAGGGACAAGGGGCCAGCCCACCACACGGCCTCTACCTGCAGGGTGACCACCGCAGGACGCTTAGACAAGCCACCTCCCTCCCCATCTTCAGGTTCTCCTGCCCAGAGAGCTGCATTCCACTGCCAGTGGGCTGGTTTTTGCAAAAGTAAGCAGTTAGACAAAGTGATAGCTGACACCAGATTAAGGCGGAGCCCTCACCTCCTTATCGCCTGCCCGCAGAGGAGTCGAGGGGGCGGGCAGGCTCCCGACTCTGCAGGCATCTATCCGTCAGTTTTCTATTCACCCTGCAGGCGGCCAGCCTCACGTTCCCCAGCTCAGGGCCCTATCTAGGGACCGAGGCCCCTCTCCCTGGCCTTCCACGCCCTCCCGGACATGTCCTCTGCCACTCATACCCTCCCCAACCCGAACAATCACTGTGGCCACTTGTAGCCGGTGTCCCCCAAACCGGGGCCCCCTCCCTACTGTCCAATCCCCGGCATCCAGCCTGGGGGCCTCAGTGTTGCAGCGTCATTCATAAACCCGCGAGGGGCCACACACCCTCCGGTCGGCCGAGGCTTTCCAGAAGCCTCTCCTTAGATGGGCGCGCCTGGGGCAGGACCCCGCAGGGCCAGGGCCGGGGGCGGGCTCCGGAGCCGCGAGGTCCCCTCTTTCTCCCGCCCTCTCCCGTGGCTTGCTTTCTAGGGGTCGGCCAACCCGGCTGCCCCTCCAGGGAGCGCTTCTGCCGAGGACCGGCGATAAGTGGGGGGCCTGGGCTGGCGAGGAGCAAAGCGGGGAGGACCCGGCCTAGCCAGGGGCCAGGGGCTCGCCTGCTGGGTTTCACGCGCCGTGTTTTCCCGCGAACTCGAGCCTTCTCAACCAAAAGTTTTACCGCCTTGCGTTTCGGTCTTTAAATCCCGAGTCAGGGCACCACCCGGGATTTCTAATGGATAAACCCGATCTCGGACAGTCTCGGCTCCTCTCCGCCTGAGTCCGGCCCCCTTTCAAGCATCGACTCAAGTCCCCTCCTCCGCTCCCTCCAAAGGACCCTCCATTCTCCGAATCCTCCCCACCCCCCGAAAAAAAAAGTGGAATTTTTAAAAGCCAGAAGATCCTTAGAATAGTCAACCCTTCATTTTATAGGCGAGGAAACCGAGGCCCGAGAAAGGCGGTGATGGGGGGTGAGCCTCCGGGTGCAAACGGCCTTGCTCAAACCAGATGGTCGGTTTCGTCACCAACGGGCGGAGTGATGATGTCGCGGGGCGTCGGTTTCCTCATCTGTAATATGGGCGGGCGCGGCCAACTGTGGCTACAGGGCTCGGCGAGCAGCAGCCAGGGGAAGCGCCTCTCCCGGCCGCCAGGCGCTCTCGGCTCCGCGGCCCCGACCCCTACCTGGCTAGACCTAAGGCTCTCCCGGGCTCCCAGCCCCCCCGGCCCCGGGCCTTACCCCGCCAGCTCCAGCAGCAAGCTCGAGAGGCTGATGCCCCGCGCGCTGCGCGCCGCCAGCACGGCCGAGATCTGCGGCAGCTTGAGCGCCGCGCACGCGCACAGCGTGCTCCAGTTGCAGAACCCCAGCAGCGCCGTCTCCATGGCGCCGGCGGGCTCCGGGCTCGGGGCTGGGGGCTCGGGCGCGCGGCGCCTCCGCCCGCGGCGTCCAGGGGAGCCGTCGGCATTCAGCCGCCGGGCTCGCCCAGTCCTTCCGCCTTCCCTGGCCCCCGCCCATGCGCCCCACCGGGTCCGCCCTGTCGGGGCCCGCGGCTCCCCCCGATCTCCGCCCCCGGCCCCGCCCCGTCTCGCCCCGACTCCTCCCCGGGCCTGCTCCGCCGGGTCCGCCCTGTCGGGGCCCGCGGCTCCCCGCGACTTCCAACCCGGGCTCGCCGCGCTGGGTCCGGACCCGCCCGGCCGCTTCCCCGTCGACGTCCGCTCGCCCCGCCCGCCCCCCCGCCCCGACTCGTCCCCGGGTCCGCGCCGTCCCCGGGCGGCCGGTGAGCCTTGCCCTTCGCGGGCTGTACACGCTGCTGATTCACTTTTCCGTGTTGAAGCGACTCGCGCAGTTGTGAGCCCGCGGGAGACCCTACACAGTCCCGCTTTCCCACGGTTTGGGTGGGCAGAGACTGAACCCCGGGAGGGCAAGCGGGCACCCCTCGCGGGAGATGGACCATTTTGTTGGGATGTTTCACTCCCTAAAAGTGTTTTTCTTTGTTTTTAATTTCAGAGATTAAAACTTGTAACCACCTATCTTCATTTGTATGCGTTCTCCTTGTTTTACACGCGGGGAACAGCCGTTGCCGCGGGCATGAGCGGGGGAGGCCCAGAACCCCCCAGGGTCGGTTCAGTTCTTGCCCTTTCCTCCAGCTGCGAGTGGGGACGCTGCTCCCCGACCCCGAGAAGCTTCCTTCCTAGGGGCTTGGGCCTTAGCCCTGAAGGCCCCCCGGAGGCTTGCGCTTCAGCACTTCGGAGTGAACATTTTTCTAAGGAGCTACGATAGATATCTGTTGATAAAAGAAGGTAACTTAGACGTGGCACAAAGTGAGGTGGTGGGGTGCATTTTCCAGGCTCTCAAAATCGCATAGGTGTTGAGTCCAGGTTATGAAGCAGAAAACAGTCACAAAAATGCAATTCCAGAATGGCTGCATTTGCGCTGTGAACCTCAGCCTGCGCCCTCCTCCCACCCTGCTCCTCCAGCCTTCACCGGGCCATCAGCCCCTTCCTCTGGAAGAAACCAGAAGGTATTGAGTCCTCCCTGCAAGGCTTAAGGAGAACAGGATGTGTAGAAAGAAATCTTTAAGAGGAAAACAGAGCGTGTGTGTGTGTGTGTGTGTGTGTGTGTTTAGTCCTCTTCTAGAGATCCTGAAATATTTACAGACGAGGTAACATGATGTCTGGAATTTGCTTCCAAGTGTTGGGGGTCAGGTGGGAGAGTGGAGATGTAGATGACATGAGATGAGCCGTGAGTTGATAATTTCTGAAGTTGGTTTTGGGTATATGGGGGATTGTACTACGCTCTACTTTTGTATAGGTTTGACATGTTCCATATTAAAAAGTTTAAAACAAAAGAGGGATTGGGGGTGAAGTGCTGTTGCCCTCATTTTGAGGTGAGGATTCGGAGGTCTGGAAAAGTGAGGCAGCTTGCTTCATGTCACACAGCCAGCACCAGCTGGAGAGCATCTCTGTGCCTGGGCACAGTGCCCTTTCTGCTGTGTGCAGGCACACTCCCCGAAATCTGGTCTGAGCAGAGACCCTGGGTCGCCTTAGTGGCCCCAGCTTTGCCATTTATTAGCTGTGTGACTTTAGGCAACTTGTTCAATCTCTCGGTGCTTCTGTATTCTCCTTTGTAAGGTGAGCATATCAAAGCTGCCTGGCGCTTGTCGGAACGGTGGCTCTCATGATTGGCGCCACCAGCAATTTGTCGTCATTTCCTTGCTGAGCCTCGCCCTGACTGTTGCCTGGCGCTCCTGCCTTCCCCTGGAATCAGCCATTTGCCTAAGGAGCCCCGAGTCCTTTCAATGGATAGAGAATGGTGTTGAGAAGCAAAGACCTGGGACTAGATGTGCTTATTGCTTTGGAGGTGTTGTTGCTTCTGCCCTTTCAGGAGACAGGGCTAGGACGTGTGTGTGTGTGAGTTACATAAGTAAGTATATATAAAGAGAGAGTTGCATATGTATGTATTATACTCATCTGCTCGGGCTGCCTTAACAAAATACCACAGACTGGGTGGCTTAAACAACAGAAATTTATTTTCTCACAGTTCTGATGGTGGAAGTCCACGGTGCTAGCACGGGGCTAGCAGGGTTGGTTTCTGGTGAGATCTCTCTCCTTGGCTTGTAGATGGTCGTCTTCTCCCCTGTCCTCACAGGGCCTTATCTCTGTAAGCACACATCCTGGTGTCTCTCTCTCTTCTGATAAGGACACCATTCCTATTGGATTAGGGCTCCACCCTTATAACTTCATTTAACCTTAATTAGTTCTTTTTTGTTTTGACACATTTGTTTATTTTTATTATTATTTATTTATTTTTGTGAGGAGGATCGGCCCTGAGCCAACGTCCGCCAATCCTCCTCCCTTTGCTGAGGGAGACCAGCCCCAGGCCAACATCCATGCCCATCTTCCTCCACTTTATATGGGACGCCGCCACAGCATGGCCTGACAAGCAGTGCATTGGTGCGCACCCGGGATCCGAACCGGCAACCCCCGGGCCGCCGCAGCAAAGCATGCGCACCCAACTGCTTGCGCCACCGGGTCGGCCTACCTTAATTGGTTCTTTAAAGGCCCTATCTCCAAACACAGTCACATTGGGGGTTAGAGCTTCAACAAGCGAATTTTAAGAGGACACAATTCAGCCCATAATCTAGATGTATATTCATACCTACTCTGTATATACCCGCATACATTACGTATAATATGTATTACACACATGCACACTGAACCAGAATCTTCCTTTTAACAGAACCCCCAGATCTGCATGCACACTGAGTCGAGAAGCACTGGCTGGAATACAGAACGAGGGATGACTGCACTCCCTATGGACTCTTTCGTAAATACTGCTTCTCTTGGCCAGACTTGTGCTACATGCATAATAGACTGCAGTGGGGTTGGAAATGCCACTCCCTGACATCAATTTAAAGTGCAGCTAATCCTCAAAGACAGCTGAGTGGCTAAGTGCAGGAGCGTCTTCTTTACGGGTGGCTGAACTGAAGATCCTGTTGTGTCATCTTATAACAATCAAGTGGCCTCAAGAGCAGGCCACCCCACTTTCACCACAGCCCTTGGGAACGAAAGAGTCAACATCACTCTTCTTTGGGTCACAGATTTGCATGCTTTGGAGCTCGCTCACTATGGTAAATTCAAAATGAGTCCTGGATGAGCCTCCCCGACGGGGTCCCAGGAGATGACGGAATGTTCTAGAATTTTGAGGGATCCAGAAGTTCTCTGCCAAGAAGAGTGTGTCAGTGAGGGTTCGATTACAGACCACAGAATCGTCCTCTTTAGTTAACTTAATTATTATTAGGGGGCATTAAGGAGTGTGCCGAATCACTGGAAGGATAAGGAAGCAGATGTTAGGAAGAGTCTCTAAGGAACAACTTCCAGAATCTCACTGAAGAACTGCCCTGGGAAGGCGGCTGCTGCCGCCACCTCCACCACTGTTGCCGTGACCAGGAAAGCCATCCCATCAGGAAGCTGCCGCCGCTGCCGCCCAGTGCTTTTGAAGCTGGGGACAGACCCACACAGCACCTGGGCCAAGCTGTCCCAGAAAGGCCTGCCGCTGTGTCTCTCTGCTTCCAGAAGGGTCCTGGGGTTTCACCTTCTGCCCTCTGAGTCTCTGGGGGCTGCCTCTGCCTGGCAGGAGCCAGGTCACATGAGAAGCCTGACTGCCAGGGCGTCTGCCACATCCAGCCTTGTTGTTGGCTGACTGCCGCAGCCAGTGGCTCCACATAGCCATGCCCTCAGCGTGTGGCACAGTGACCACCAGGCAGTGCCCCCAGGGCCTGGGTGCTTTGGACAGAAGACACGATTTCTTTGCTATTCCTTACTGGATGCTAGGGAGTGGTGGGAACTATGGAGGGGAAATCTAGTCTAAACTGTTGTCGCTCTGAGGTGTGTGGGTGTCACAGCTGGGGTCGAGGGCTGAGGCCACTGCGGGGTCAGTGGGGGTTTTGTCTGAAGTCTGTGCTGGCTCAGCTGTGGTTTCCCATCTCGCTCCCCTCAGAGCTCCAAGGGCTCTGTCACTCTGACCAGACTGCAGGGCTCCCAGTGCTCAGGAACCAGCCGGGAGGGAGATGGGGAGCTGTAGAGGCCCAGGGACACTGGGCATGGGGAAGAGAGTGTGTCAGAGCCACAGGGCTAAGGGCTGGCACTGAGGACAAGGCTGCAGGAAGTCTGGCAAAGACTGCCAAAGAGCAGTCAGCTACCACGATGGCTGTCTCCCTGATAATCTCAGGGAAAAGAGCACTCCTGGCCCTTCATATCTCTCTCCCTGCCTCTTCTGAAATGCTCTGCTGCTCTGAACACAAGGAATCTGCTGTACTTGGCCATGGACCCGCAGTTCATAGGTTCTGGGCTTTCTCCTGTGAGCGGCTGAGGACAGAGGAGAGGGAAGAGAGCATGTGCGTGCCAGGCATCGGGCAGGGAGGAGAAGATGCTTGAGAAGAGACGGATGCAGCACGGCAGACGGCGGGAGCACGGAGGAGGGGCACTTCCGCTCTCCCTGGATTTTGGATTGAGTCTCAGGTATGTCGAGGTGTGATTTCAGGGTTTTTTTTGCAAAGGGAATCTAGACAGTTGACTAAGTGTCCCCCATGGTTTCAGTAAACTCAGCCAATGTTCAGACACCATGATTTTGGTGTAAGCTGTTCCTGCTATGGCATGTGTGATGGGAATCGAGCTGGCCTCTGCCCTGGTTAGATTACTAACCAGTGAACAGTTACTGCTCATAGGAAAATAAAATAGGGAAGTAAAGAGCTTTCTTACAAGCATCAAAGGCTTATCAACAGCAGCAGTGGCAACTACAGAAACATCTAGAATCTGTTGAGTGCCTGCTGTGTGTCAGGTGTTCCACTTTCATTATGTCGTTCCACTTATCAGTTGAAGCAAGGAGACTGGTCCCATTTCGAGGTGGTCCTGGTTGGAAGTTCCTGGTCCTGCCATGTGGCAGTGGCTCCCTCTCTTCCCTCCCCATCTTGGGCTCTGTTTCTCTTGGGGGTAG